CTGAAACATAGGTGACCTCAGGTACGACGATCAAGTTTTGAAAAGCTCCTCTCAGCTGGAGCCACAGTGACTGGCAGAGCAGTCCAAAAGTTGGGGTAGATCTCCAATAGATCTTTACGATGATCCATAATATTTTAGAATTGCCTCTGAAATTGTAATTTAAACTGACATAAAAAAACTGTAGACTACCAAAAATGCCAACTTTTACAGAACAAATCATGTAAAAATAATCAGTGCAGCCATCTGCAATAAATAAACAGGATAGTTAGAGGTGAATGGGGAGTTTTCTTCTGTTTGTAGAGTTGTTTTATTTATTATTATGTGAACATGATCAACATGTGTTTGTTGTTGTTCAGGCAGGCCACAGGCTGCAGCGAGCATTTAACAAATCTTAGTTTGAATCAGTAAAAAATGATTGAAGGAATTTTTTTGAACCATTTGAATATTCGTTTCAATATTTCAGCCCTATTAGCTCTGTTAGCAATTAGTTGACCGAATGTAACCGTTAAAATCCCAGTTAACTGGTTCAAAAAATTGAAAACATGCATCATGAGAGCGTACATACCTTTATCTTTCTCCTCTTTTTTCTTTTTTCCCCTGAATGGGGCACCTGGTGGTTTTAGCCTTTTTATGTTCATCTCTTCTGTTTGGCTCTTGACTCAATAAGTTTCCTTTAGTCAGGACTAAACTATTTGACCTTGATGGAGGGGTGACCACAAAATCGTTTTGTTTTTCCTTTTTTTATTCGGCCATTTCACACAATTCAGAAAAACCTGAAAGAATGATAGGCCTGTGTTTATGATATTATGAATGAAATATGGAAGAACATCAAGATGTGATTGACTTTAGCCATGTTGATACAGTTGATTCAGCCCCTAGCTCATTTCATTTGGACCCACCCAGAGGTGAATTCCCCCGCCGCACCCCTCCCCTTCCTCTTCTTCATACACACACGGTGCACGGAGCTGCAGCTGCAGGGGGCGCCAACTTGCTGTTTCCAATCCAGACACTGTCATATGACAGATAATAGAAAACCTCGGTGCGGCGCAGGTTTTTTTTATTTTTTTTATTTTTTTTACTCAGCGCCTGTGCGCCCCTTTTGTGTCATGAAAAAATGCCGCCCCGGGCAACTGCCCTGTCTGTCCGTGCCTAAAACCGCTACTGCTGATCAGCTTAGCTTTTCAGTGCAGATGAGGTTGGCTGATTAGTTTGGGCTACTGTGTGTGATTTCTGTAAGTAAAGGCACCACTTGCCTGAGGAGTTATTCCGTAGTGAGTTATTTTGTATGGAGATATTTGGAAATGATAATGCACTTTAAATGCTTTTGTGTTTGATTGTCAATGATCAATGTTTTCTGAACGACTAAATGATTACTGGTGTGTGAGCGACTTACTCAGATATACAAATATAGCCAGTGAACATTATTATTGTCAGTTGTTGGATGAATGTATTATACAACACTTTTACCACCTGGTCCTGTTCTTTCAGGCCAGGTTTTCTTCATTGGATGGCGAGCTACCCACTAGAACCTAGACTGGAAGCCCAGAATCCCTGAGTTCCTGAACCAAGTCAGGCAGACTGAATCAATTCACTCCACCAATGTTAGGCTGGTAGGAGGCTCCTGTAGCCATCTTTAAGTCTCTGTTCCTCAGCAACTTCAACAGCGAGCCGCGATTACCCTGATCACATCCTTCACAATCCCCCCTCTCTCTCCCTCACGAACATTGAACTCACTCTTTAGGACCCATTCGCGGGTCCTCGGGTCCGCTGAAACTTGAAGTTGCCAACAATCATGTGTTACCCTATCTAATGGACAATGGATTGACGTATGATGATTTGTAATTTATTCTCTGTAAATTGTCAACTATTATTCAGTGTATGTATTGTTAAACAAGTGTCATAATATATTCTATATTGGTACCAACCTAACGGTCTATTCCATTTTGTCTCTGTGTCACTTACTCCTGTGGGCTGATCCTAGCTTCTGATCTGGGTTACATCTGGTCCTGATAATACAAGTCATCCCAAATTACTCCTACGCACATTACAATAGCTTGCGTTTTCTTCCTGATCTTGGCAGTGATGAAACAGTGCCATGCACCTTATACTTACAAACAATTGTTTGCACTGTTGCTCTTGGGACCTGCAGCTGCTTTGAAATGGCCCCAAGTGACTTTCCTGACTTGTTCAAGTCAATAATTTGCTTTTTCAGATCCATGCTGAGCTCCTTTGACTTTCCCATTGTAGCGTTTGTGGGCGTTTGTATCCAATGAGCTCTATTTACCTGGCCTAAGAGAAGTCACCTGCTGTAGTCACTCATAATCACTCACAAGAAGTTAAGAGGCCATGCTATGAAGCTCAGTTCACTGACACGTTTCTAAGTCACCTAAATTGCTGGTTCATGTTGCTGTATGTATATTTGTGACCCAGCAAATGTGATCACTTTTCTCTGTTAACCCATAATAAAGACATTAAAGAACCAAACTTCATGAATGTTTTTGTGACAAAGAAGTATCTGTTCCAATCACTCTATCAGAGAAAAATCAGAGTTTTAGAAATAACGGGACACTCAGTAGAGCCATTATATTATATTTTTTACAAGTGTATGTAAACTTCTGACCACAACTGTATGTACGCACGCATGATCGGATCATTTCAGTTCGTGTCCATGTGAACAGAGATTCGGAAATTCCGATCAACCAAGATTTCAATCGGATTGAGGAAATTTGGCACATGTAAACGCAGCTACTACTGGCGCGTTAGCTTGCTGGTAAGACGTCGGAGTTTTGTGCAGAAGACCTGGGTTTGATTCTGGATGTGAACATAGTTTATTTAGAGTTTCTTTTTTACATTAATGGTATATTTTTTACAATAAGATGCCCAAGTTGTTATTTGAGACTCGCCAAACAGCATTGAATTCACAGATAAAAAAGATGTGGGTTCAACTTTCATTTTGGAACAATTTTTCAAGCAAGGGAAGGGAATGATCTGAGCATGCAGGAGGACTGACCCATCATAAACCTTTGTCGGCTGTGCTGAAGAGAAAGGTACAGAACCAAATTATTTAGTTAATTAGCTGCGTGTTCTCCTGTCCTCTGTCCTCCGGGCCACACACACACACACACACACACACACACACACACGGAGCTGACTGTCTCAGCTGATATTTTCGTTAAGGAGTGTGCACGTAGAGTGTGCGCGCCTCGTGCACGAGCGTACTATTGAAGCTGCCATTACGCTTTTGGCCTGAGGGGGCAATCACGAGCATAAAAATTCAAAACTCCGTAAAGTCCCTTTAATGTGGAGGATATTTATGTGACAGCGTGAGCTTCCTGCCACTGTGTCCCGATTGATCATGCGTCCTGGCTACTTGGCCATGGGGATGTCCCTTTGGCTGACTGGTTAGGACTCGTGACTCTCATCTGGGAGTCTGGATTTCAAATCCCGCCCGGGCCCTCGCTGCTCCACCTTGCCACATTTAGACTCCATTTATATGAAGGTGATTTACCTACTTGGCTCCCTCTCCTTTGCCTTCTTTGTATGTTTACATCCAAACCCATTACTGAGTATTTGACAGATAATGTAATGACTGCTCCACTGGATCTTTTGGTTTCATTAGGCCCGTTGTCACTATCAGAACATCTGGGTGATTTACCGGACCTCTCCTGCATGCTTGTCTGATTTCACCACGTCGCCCCGATAGGACCGTTTTCCGGGCCGTTTCAGGGAGCAGCCTGAACTGGGGTATTTACCCGTAAATGGCCCGGCAGAGTCACTGTGCGAGACTTGCAGTTACTCGTGCAGATTGGTTGTAGACGGCAGTCTTTAAACAATTTGTGCATCATTGCATCCTGTTTTATATCTCACTTGGAAACTTTTATTTTGGTGGGGGTCACAAATGTCTTCCCTATAACAGCTTTTCTAATAATACAGTTCACAGCTTGAAACTCTTTATTGATTCTACTAGGGCTGTAGCGAAGCCTCGACGAAGTCGACGGCTCGATTCTAAAAATATGTCGACGTCAGATCCGGAAGTCGACGCACCGCGCCCACTTGTTGCATCCCCAGGAGTTTGTAAATAGAGGAGGAATCTGCCTGTTTTTCCTCTAGTTCGCCCTCTTCTCCGCCTTCACTAACATCTCCGCCAAATACCGAAGACCCGGAACATCGTCCGTCCACTACTAGATTATTTTCCTGTTTTGCCCGCCTTCGTCTCCCGGCAACGGACAACAACTTCCGGGGTCAGATGTGCGCTGCTTCGTGTCTATCGCAGATGTAGAAAATCACCGGGAGCGCTTCTCCCTTCATTAAGGAGCTTCTTTCAGACATGAGGAGAGCTGTTTTGGTGGTAGAAGTCTCTCCTCCATGCTGGTCTGTTTGCTGCTGGGTGTTTTTGGTTTATTTAAACTTGGTAACTTGAACTTAATGTTGGTTAAGCTACTGTTAGCATCTTCGCTAACAGCTTCTTGCGTTGGTATAAGCTGTTACGTTTTGGTTTAGAGTTCATCTTTTTTGTGGTGCAGATCTCCCTTTTATTACATTTAGAGTGTTGTGGGTTTTCGGTTTAGTGTAAAATATCACCTGAGTTTGGTTTAACCCGTAAGACCACTCGCCTCACGCACATAAGTGACCAAAACAAAGCAGCATGGAGACACTCCATCTTCTACCACCTCTCAGGCAGCAGCCTGCACTCCCAAGTTCTACACGTCACCAGAACATAACCAAACAACACAATAAACGCAGTGTTATACAAAATGGAAGGCCTGTAGTGTTTATTCTCTTACAGTAAGAATTTATCAATTTTTTTGAGGAATTTATTTGAGATTTTCTGGTTTTTGTTAATTGTGCAATAGAAAAATAATCATTAGATTAATTTTCTAAATAGTCATTAGAATAGTCGACTATTCGATAAAATAATCGTCAGAATAATCGTTTTAAAAATAATCGTTTACCCCCAGCCCTAGATTCTACCCTCCATAACTTCACCTTTGTTTTTTCAGGTCTTTGGGGGTGGTGATTTGGGAGCTGTTTGAGTTTGGAGCTCAGCCCCACAGACACCTGAGTGATGAAGAGGTGCTCACCTTTGTCATCAGGGAGCGACAGATCACGTTGGCTCAGCCCCGACTGAAACTCTCCCATGCAGATTACTGGTTCGTTTGCACACATCAGATTTAACCTGAACATAAATAAATATAAATCTGATTCACCTGCATTTTAATTCTTTGTTTTTCTTCTTCCAGGTATGAAATCATGCAGTCCTGTTGGCTCCCCGTGTCACAGCGGCCCTCTGTAGCTGAAATATTCCTCCTCCTGTCCTCCCTCCTCACTGCTGAGCAAGGGTTGGCAAGAAGGAGTGTTGGAGAAGAGGATGAAGATGATGAGGAGTATCAGGAGAGCAGAGGAAGGAGAGGAGAGAGTGAGGAGTCATTTGAAAGACGCTGGAATCTGCTGCGTCCTCCGGCCTTTCGGGCTGCAGCAAACGAGCGGCATCGGGACAGAGAGTACATCAGGAATAGCAGAGACAGCTCCTACCCCCTCCTGGACCCTGTAGGGAACTGCATTACCCCATCCTCTACTGAACTGGATGACATCCTGACTGTTACAGAGACTAGCAAAGGCTTGAACTTTGAGTATTTGTGGGAAAAAGCTCATGCCAGACGAGGCTACAAGCCCCTTCCTCCTCCTCAGCAAATCCCCACTGTGAACAATAACCACAGACAGTCTTTAGACACCCCCACGGTGGTGCCGGTGATCAGCGCCCGTAGCCCCTCGCTCGCCAGCGAGTACTACATCAGACTGGAGGAGCACACACCCCAGGACAAGTCTCCAACTCTTAAAGGCATGTCCCAGTCGTCCCTGCGGTCTAATTCTGTTTGTCCGGGAGACGTGGAGCTTGTGGAGATTCGCAGCGGAATGCTGGGAAAAGAGCGAGTCCCGTATTGTTCTTCTGAGAAGAGCAAAAAGACGCTCCACACGATCCGATCGAGCGAGGTGCAGCTCCAGGTGCCGAACACGGGAGTGGCTGAGTTCAGAGACGCGTCCAGCAGGGTGACGGACTTCTCCGTGGTCGACTTGGACGACGATGACGACGTGGAGAATAAAAAGACAAACGAGGGACACAAAAACTCCTCCACGACATTTCAGGCACCGCTCCTCCCTCCCAAGCCTCGCACCATGTCCTTGTCCAACCACCTCCACTCCCGCCCCCTCCCTGCCCCCCCGCTCGGATATAGAGGTCTGCCTCACTACACCATCAGTGGCAAAATCGAGACAGACCCCCTGCACACGAGCTCCTGCCCGCCTTCTACCTTTGATCACCTCAGCCTCCATCGCTCTCGACTGACTCTGCCCCCCTCCCCGTCCCTCTCCCCCTCCATCCCCCCATCGAGCCATCCGATATACCCTCAAACCTGTCCTCCCCCTCTTCCTCCCCACTCCAAGCCTCAGAGATGTGCTCCAGGTTACAGCACAGACCTGAGATATGCCAAGCCACAGATGCAGAGATCCAACAGAGACCCACTATCCTGTGACGTGTCTGATATCGAGGATGACAACCAGCTGTTACACCCCTCCATGGAGGCCTCTCACTCCCGAGTGAAAGACTTTGACTCTCCGATTCGTAGAGAAAACCCTTTGCGTCCTATTTACAGAAACCCGCCTCGACCTCAGACAGCAAACATCCAGATCGACAGACAGTCTTCTTCAAGTCCCACATATTCAGACGAGGACGACTCCCCCTTTACGTCTCCCGAGAGGCCCGGAAACGGGATGACCGTCACGCACTCCAGCCTATCTGAAGATGCGGACCCAACCACAGCAGAGCTCTTCTCCAGGGGAATGAAGCGAACCCAGTCGCGCCTCGACACCATTCTGCCCAACATTTGGAGGGAAGATGCAGAACTTCAGGCAGAGTGTGTCGCGGCGGCCAACAAATCCCCAATGCATCTGTTTTTGACCGAGATCTCGAGCGCGACAGAGCTGAGTGAGCCCAAGTCGGAGGAAGAGGAGGAGGAGGAAGAGAAAAAAGATGGAGAGGGATGGGGGAACTTTGTACCCCCCAACAAAGGGATACGCCGCACCCAGTCGCTGATCACGGAGCTTGGCCCGCCAGGACATGTGTGGGGACAAGAGAACCATGTCAACAGGACAAGTTTTGTGGAGAACACTTCAACAGCAGACGAGTCTTTCCAGGGGGATCTTTTTCTCACAGAGATTGACACAGAAATTGTGGACACTGATGTGAATGAAGGGTCAGAAAATGATCCAGTTAAATATCTCTATCCTGCAGGATCCAGGTTGCGGCCTTATGTCTGCAGCCCCGGAAGAGAGTCGGAGGAAACCAACACCAAAGTAATGAGGAGATCTCGATCCCTGGTGACTGAGATCACGGTTGAAAAGCAAGAATCTGAAATCCAGAATCCACAGAGAACTGAAATGACCAGAGAGGAATTCCTGAAAGAGATCCAGTCTGCGGAGACATTCTTAACCGAAATCATCTCGAGACAAAACGCTGCCCCGAGCAAGACGGAGTCAGATCCGCCCTGCTCTCCCACTCCTCTGTCTCCTGAATACGAGTCCATTTGCTTTGACCCAAACTCCACTCAGACCATCAGATTTCAGTCAGAGAGCTCCATACGGGCGTCAAACAGAGGCAGAGATGACAATCAGACTGAGGCTATCTATGCACAAGTGACCAAACGTGCTAAAAAGAGTGAGATCAAAGTTTCCATCAGACCTGAGATCCCCAAACTCCACATAGGATCAAATAAACAGCCTCTGATTCTGAACAGCCAAGGAAACCATGCCGATCACTGCCAGTCCGAGGAGTTTGTGTTTTCAGAAGTCGTGCCCAAAAATGGTCTGTTACACAATCAAACACTCCGGTGTCAGAAAGAAGATCAGGAGGAGGAGTGTTCAGACGGACCTGCTTTACCTGCCAGAGGAGATCTAACAGATCTGTCTCCTTCTGCTGAGAGAACAGACTCCAACACTGTGATCCAACTCCAGAACAAACATAAAACGGACTTTGAGGCCTCTAAAAGTACAAAATCCTCTAATAATAAAAACTTTGCAAATGGAGAAAAGGTGAATAATCATGAAAACGGCAGTCATATCCAAACTGAACCCGATCCCGGAGCCAGTCCTGGCACTCCAGAGTGGAATCCATCCTCTGATGTCTCGCTCCCCACCCCCACTGACTCGGTCTTGTCACCTCTGACCTCCAGCTCAGCGGACGGCCTAACACCCAGTGACTCATGGACAGGATCGGGTGGAGGGGGAGGCAGTGGGTGGCGGGCTCTGGGAAGCGACACACCACATAGAGATTCTGCCTACTTCTCAGACAGCGACTGGGAGGGTGACGGGATGATCCGGAGGGGCGGTGACGGACTCCCCGCGAGGCCGAGCAGCGGGCGAGGCGTTGAGCGTGGAATACTGTCAGGGATAGAGGAGAAAACCGAAGAGGAGGGGGAGACGGGAGAAAAGAGCTCATTACGAAACAGTGTACACACTTCTGGTTACGAAACAGGAACAGGAGATCAAAAGACTGCAGAGATTTGTGAAAATGTGCACATAGTGTCTCAAAATACTTGTGAAAATGACATCTCTCATTTAGACGATGCTGTCAACAAAGGGCTGAAGTCCACACAAAGGGACGATTCAGGCATATTTCACAACGAGAGCAAAAGCTCAACGCTTCTGTGTGATGATCCTGAAGTCAAGGGCTGTATTGACCTCGTTGATGAGTTGTTTTCCAGATTAGACGAGGAACCACCGAAAGGGCTGCCACACAGCGACGGGGTTGAGATGGACAGTCATTACACGGATGGCGTCATTTCCAAAGTAACAGAATACAAACACTCTGTGGAGGGTGACTTAAATCTGCGCTATGAAAGCCCCACAGAGACAGGTGGTTTGATCATTTCTGGACCAGGCGACCAGTCAAACGGTGGGGCGGGTGTCAGAGAAAAGGACCAAACTGGACTGATGACCCTGAAACCTGGGAGTGGAGCGGTGGATTCGCAAAGTGGCAACACAGAATCCAGATCGTCAAAGCTCTGTGGCGTTGAGGACACGTGTAGCGAAGAAGACCAGCCGTATGAAGATCACAATGAGCTGGGTCTGAGGAACCTTCTCTGCTCCAGCCATGCACCAGATACGAGTGATCTACTGGAGATGGGGACACGTCAAACCTGTGGCGCGCTGGCAAAAACCACGGAGGACAAATATCCCATTAGGAAAAACGACTCGGCTAAAAATGTGAATTCTTGTGAGCAGCTGGATGTGATGTCTGAAGACTGGTGGAATGCTCTGGAAGAAGATGAGGAAAGACCGGGATCTGAAGTTGTAAGAGGGGAACTTGACTGTCACCGTGCGGCGCAGTCAGCGGATTTCCACTTGTGGCCCGATCAGAACGACCAGTGGGCTTCTCCTGAGAAGAGGAGCCAAGAGGTCGACCTGAGATCCGAGTTTTGTTCTGGTAACAAGGAGTGGGAGGCAGGAGGGAGGCTGCTGGTGGGTCAGGAGTTCTGGGAGACTGAAGGAAATGATGAACTTCCAGGAAATGAGCCTCACCCTGCAGCGTCAGGGGGCCACCAAGAAACCCAGACCAAGAGAAAACAAAGAACGAACAATGATCTTATTGTGAGGGAAACGATGGACTCTAAATCATCAGTCGAACAACAGACTGCTGCTGAAGTCCAGCAAGAAGAAAATCTGGAGAATCTGGAGGAGATGGATGGTTTTAAGGGGGATGCTCAGGGAAAGACCTCAGATTTTGAAGTAGAGAACGTAGAAATTCCAGAAGAGGAGCCCTTTGTGCAAGGAGAGGGGCAGATTTCCTTGTGCATTAAGGGTGACATGGAGGAGAATCAAAATTTTAACAGGTGGCCTCAGAATCAACTCGGCAGCGTCCACAGAGTGGAGCAGACAGCTGTGAACGCTGACAGAGACTCCGAGAACCACTTCAGCCAGACTTTACATAGTCAAAGCTCCAACATATCCATCAGCATCACCGAAGCTCCTCGGGAGATGTTTACAGATCAGCAAAACGATGATCATAACTCAGAAGCTGAAACGAGATTGCGGTACGCTAGGCGATACGTCGAAGAAGAACTTCACGGGGTTGAGGAGGACTTTGAAGACACGCCGTCTCGTCCCAGCACCTTTGAACCGCTGAAGGATGTGGAGCAGTCGTGTCCACAGGCCGATAATTTCAGCTCTGTAGATTTTCCAAGTCCTCCACCGAGCATAGACCTTGATGTACAAGATGATAAACTGGAAAGTCTGGACGACTCTTTTCCTAGTCCACCACCCTCCATTGTACAGGCAGAGGACTTTATTACTCACATCAATCTAGAGGACTTTATTGCCAGTTCTGAGACAGAGTCGTATATTCCCTCAACTAACAACACAGAAGTCTCAGAGCCGCTTCTGCAAGATTTACCGCCCGCTACAACTCAGAATAAAGGGATCTTAGTCAATCTGAACCTCCCCTCTGTGCACATAACACTGGCTGATGACAACAACTTTACGTCAAACACAGAAAGTCAAGAACATCACGAGAACTTTAGCCCAACAGCTCCTTCCACACCCCAAGGTCCGCTGAACAACATCCCAGAGTTATTGATCTCAGAGTGGAAGGACCTGGATGAGGAGCCGTTAGAGGATTTTGAGAAACTGGAACAGCTCTGTTGCATCTCCGGGGATGAAGAGGAGTCTCTGGGGGAGCTTTTCATGGGGAACTTCGAGTTCCTGGAGTCTTTGAAGAAGACACCAAAACAAAAGAGCGGCAGCGTAGGTGATACCGACGCCGGTGATGGGATAAGTGACGACTCGTCTCCTGAGGGAAGCAGGATGGATTTAAAGGCCGAAGACTCCAATAAGTTGGAGGAATCTAATCAAACCACCATCCTGGATTCTGTAGACAGTTCGCCACTGCCAGAAGAGAGGAAAGATGATCAAGAATCCAAAACATCTGACGTCAAAAATCAGGGATCTCGTTCTAAGAAGACGGTCAAAAACGGCCTCATGATGCAGGCGAGTGTCTTTTTTTTTTAGGATTTGTTCTGTTCAATCACCATACACTGTCAGATCACCATACATTTTTTTAATCTGTATGATGCTTTGATGGGGCAGTTTACCCATCAGATCACCGTGCACTTTGTTTAGAACAGTGGTTCTCAACCCTGGTCCTCAGTGCCCCATGTCTGTGTTCGCCTTGGGCCCCCAAATTGCTAAATCCGCCTCTGCGTATGGTTCTCCATCAGAACGCCTTCTGAACACTGCTTCTCAACTTTCTTCACCTGGTTTTGCTTTCAGGTGTGTGAGGAGAGGCTGCAGTTCTCCCTGAGTGAAAATGTGAAAACAAATGTGCTTTGGGGGGCAGACGTAAAGGAGACGGTCACCCTTCGGCCGTGGGGGGAACAAGAGACAGAAAGCAGCAGTGAGCTGAAACACCAAACAGAGGATGGAAGGTATGAAGGATGTTCCTGAAGAGATCCCCTATCTAAGGTCTCTTGCATGTTTAGACACGAATCGTTTATCAATGTTTCTGTCTGGGTTCTTCCTGCGCATTGATAAATGATCTGCAGGGGCATGTCCAGGAAGTGGCATGGGGTAGCACATGCCACCCTTGGAATCTGATTGGCCACCCCAGATGCCAGCACACTAATTTACCTTTAAATGGGCTTTTCATTGTCCACAAAAGGCTTGGGGGTAAAAAAAAAAAAAAAAAAAAAAAGTTGTGCCTCACCTGGGCCACCCCATTTTAAAGATCTGGACACGCCACTGATGATCCGGGATGGAACAAACACAATTTTATCACCAAAGGGACCCAGAGATGTCATTTAGGGGATCTCTTCACCCATCATCTATAAATGTGGTAGACTTCTCCTGTTTCACAGCAGTCTGAGTTTGCATTTTAGATAAATATTTGTTTAATTTCAACATTTAGATGTCTTTTATATATTATTTTTAACAATGTGTCGAATCAGTTTTTCTTAGTGATTCTGGCAGATTTTCTTCTGAAACATTCACACCGAGATCATGTGGCAAATTGGCTGTTTCTTGTTATTTTCTGCCGTCGTCCTCCACTGTGAGCACCACAGATACTTTTACACATCAGTCTGAATCACCAGATGTGAACAGCTGGAACAAACCTGCCAATTAGCCACTCATACCAAACTGTGTCCTTCTCCCTTTCTGCTGTCTAAATGTTTCTGCTTTTTAAATTTGACTTTATGTGGAAACAGCGGCAACCCACATACTTTATAAAATTAGTTTGATAAAGATTTTAACGAAGCAGTAAGGCAGTAAAGGCTAGTTCTGTAGTCGAATGGTGATAGATGCTTAAAAATAATATGTTTTCATTGGTTAAATAAGGCATTTCCTACATTTATCTAATACTTGTTGGTAAACACTGCTATGCAGATGACACCCAGCTCTATCTGTCATTTCCACCGGACGACCACACTGTCTTTGCACGAATATCAAACTGTCTCTCTGACATATTAAAATGGATGAAATGATTATGTTAGCTTCAAGGGCAACATGCCGATTATCACTTGTAAGTCGCTTTGGACAAAAGCGTCTGCTAAATACATAAACATAAACATGCTGCTTATTTTTGTCTGCAATAAGGAAACACAGCCACACGTCATTTAATTGCAGAAACAGTTAAATGATGCTACCAAATAAATACGAGTAGAAGTGTTTAAAGGCATATTTTAAAGGGCACATATTGTAGAAAACTCACCTTTTACCTAATTTATTGCTGCCACGTGGCTCACTACTGCCTCCATAAACAATCCTAACATAAAACATGACCATCTGTCTATTGCCAGTGTTTGGTTTTAGGATTTATGTCCCTAATCAAGCCGTTTCAAAAAGTCTCCAGTTGTGATGTCACAACAGGGAAATTAGAATTGAACCATCTACGTTGAGCTCTTCCTGAATAGCAAATACTTTTAGATTATTGTAATCCAAGAAAGAAAATGGAGAGGGCGTGGCCAACTCCGCCTGGTTTTCTTAAAGTGACAGAGCCCGGAAAGAGCTCATTATGGAAGGTACTAAAAATGTCAAGAATAAAATGAAATAACTTTATGTGAGAAGAATTTTTTTGTGCAAAAAACTTCATAAACATGTCCCCTTTAAGAAACACATTTTTTATTTTTGGTGATTTAATGCTTTAATATTTTATTTTTATTTTATTTTAGCCAAGAGGAACAGGAGGCTGCCTCCAGCAATCAGCCCCTCACACAGTCTGATCAAACTAAATCTGAGCTGCTCACTGTGATTGAACAACCTGAGATCACCCCGTCTCAACCTGCTGCAAACCAAGCAATGAAAGGTAACCCAACAAGTTAGTCGTTTTCTTTCCCTAAATTTACTTTTATCCCAATCAGAGCAAACCATGATTTAAAGGCATTAAATAGATTTGTGGAACTTTTTACTCTGCAAATGTTGCTTCGCTATTTGACTTTGACAAAAAAAATGAAAGATTCCACTGATGCATTGTGGGTAATGTAGCCATGTCTTTATATGAAGTATAGTTAATTACAAACAGTAATTTATCAGTAACACTACATTATAACAATTTATTTGATATGTTTGCCTTTTGTAGACAACTCATTGATTAGAGTAATGCCACTTTATTGGTAATATTTCAATGTTATTATTTCCTTGCAACACTTATTGCCTAAAGTATATTAAAATAAAGAAAAAAGCATTCGTTCTATTTGGTGCCTGCATTAAAGGGTTCAGATCTGTTTACAAATTAATAAAATATATTTATTTTAACAAAAAAAAATTGTTTGCCTTTAAGATTTCTTCTACATTTCTGTTTCAGCAGTCATAAACATGCAGTCTGTGTAACACTGCCCCCTAGTGGCGTCAAACAGAAGCAAAGCTGCACATTTAGAATTTGTTTTTTCATTGCTAGTATGTTTTATTCCTAGTAGTTTAAACATTTTAACACCCGTATCTGTTGGAATCATATTTGTAATCTGTCACTCGTTTTATTATTATCTTTTCCTAGCGAAACTCGCTCGTCTGTCTCTCACGCTCCCTCCTCTTGCTCTGAATCTTCCCCTCACTCCGACCGGAAAAGGAGGATTTGGGGATGGCCCCATCGGAAATCGTATCGGAAGGCGAAGAGTTCTGTCATCGGGAAGTGACCCGGACGAGGAAGAAGAAGATGAGCAAGAGGATGAGAGCTCCCACAGGGTGATCGTCGTCACGGAGACAGATGTGGACAAACGCATTGGGCTGAGGAGTCTGCTGAAATCCCCCAAAGAACCGCTGGACAGGGAGCGGGACAGAGGCAGGAATGTGTCCTTTTTTGATGATGTCACGATCTATCTGTTTGATCAGGTACTTCCCATCGACTCCGTAACTGATGCACAGACGGGGGTTCAGATTGGAAGGGTGTCTAACAGTCTCAGTCTTTGTCACAGGAAACACCGACCAATGAGCTGAGCGCATCGGCTCCCACAAGTCCAGTAGCAGTGTCTGTTAAAAGCAGCAAGTTGGACTTTCATGGTGAGTTTATTCACAACTCGTCGTTATGATGCAAATGAAAGAATTTAAACTGTGTTTTTGTCGTTAAAGCAGTGGTGCGCCCAGAAAATGTTCACGGGGGGCCAGTGGAAAATTTGGGTCAAATCCAACTGGTCCTTGTGGCGACTGTGAGAGTTTAGCCTGTAGCATTGCTCCTTCATTCTTTTTCATTAAAAAGTAAAAGGCATCACACACTTTTAGCTCAAACAAACATTTCAGAGAAAAGACAAATCTTATTGTTTCAAAATTTCAAAACAGCTTAATTTGCCTGTCGCTGTTTTAACAAAAATATACTCAAAAATGGTTGGAGTTTCTGTTTTGGAGATGGTTAGCCTCAGGGTGGCCGTGGCTTAGCAGGAAGAGGGGTGCCCTCTGATCTGAAGGTGAGACGATCAATGCAGAAAACAATTCCCACAAGGGGATCCATAATGTCATTATCCATGCATCCATCCGTTTTCGGCCGCTTATCGGGGGTCGGGTCGCGGGGGCAGTAGCCAAAGCAGGGGGGCCCAGACTTCCCTCTCCCCAGCCACGTGGACCAGCTCCTCCGGGGTAATCCTAAGGCGTTCCTTGACCAGCCGTGAGTCTCTCCAGCATGTCCTGGGTCTTCCATTAGGCCTCCTCATGGTTGGACGTGCCCGGAATACCTTACCAGGGAGGCGTCCAAGAGGCATCCTCACCAGATGCCCGAGCCACCTCCATTAATTAAATTTATTTAAAAGTTATTACAATACATTTATTTATCGACTTTTACATTTGTGTCTTCATTAAAATAAAGAAGAATGTAAGGTTTGTGTGAATGTGAATGTTTATTATTAAGGGGGGTGGCACTCTTTGGGGGGAGACAGTGGAGTAGCTAACAATTTTCCAGGGGTGGCCATGGCCCTCATCTGGACACCTCTTGTGGGCGCCCTTGATTACAATCAAAGAGATATCATCAGGAGAAAACAGGATTTGCAGCAAGCTGCTGCGTATCATAAGTCTGTTGTGGCGAGTGTAATCTCTTTGGCCGTCACCTGTTGGGGTAGCAGCGTCGGAGCCAGGTACGTAAAAAGACTCGACAGAGCCTGATGAGAAAGGACTGGTTCTGTTCTACTGTGGAACCGCTGGAGATGATTGTGCCAAGAAGGATTCTTCAAGGATGGACAACCCTGAACATCCTCTTCACGACACCATCATGCATCAACAGAGCATCTTCAGTTTAAAGACTTTGAGCTAATATGAGTTCATTATTGTTACTATTATTTTATCGTTTGAAGAGTGAGTCAAACACAACTTCCCACTAAATAAAGTGTTTTTTATTCGAAAACTCATGTTGGGTTCATATTCCGTCTTGCATTTGATTTTGTGCAGCTGTTCAGCGTCTGTTATTCATGGAATGTGGGGCAACTTTTTCTTTTCATCTCAGTCGCATCAACAACGAAAGGGGCGGAGGAGACGAGTCCATCCGCAGCTCGAGTGTGGACATTTCTGTTGTGCCACGGCTTAAATGCTTTCTCTGTCCCTCAGGGCCGAAAAAGGGCAAAGACTCCAAAAGGAAAGAGGACTTACCGATCAAGCCGAGGCCGCCCGTGACTTCCTCCCGCTTCACTGTCAGCCCCGCCGATGACCCCCACTCGGTGTGATGTAGAACATCATCACAGGAACTCTCAGAGACGAGCCCTCTCCAGAGGGCAGTGAATTTACCCAACAACCAGCCATTCACCCAGAAGATATTTTTTTACTGAACAGGCGACCAGAACGTTGAGACGCTGACTCTGGACACATTCCCGGACTTCGCCAGTGACAGGATCTTGTATGAAAAGTTATCTGAGCTCCTGCCTGCCACTGTTTACAGAGTCTTTGGAAATATGAGCTTATGTTGGAAAAAGAGCAACTTTGGAGCTTTGTAAAATCTGAAACAACTTTGTCAGCTATGCAGTGGGAGTCTTGCTGTGTACCAGCGTACCTTCTCTTTTCTCCTTTATTCTGTTGAATCGTTTTCTTAGGGTGTGTGGGAGGGAGATGCACTTTCTTTAGTCGTTCATCCGTCTGTGTATACGCTTGGACTCTTCCCCAGTTTATCCTCAACGACGTTTTTCTTTGCAGTCAGTCCGTCGTGCTTGTAGGCAGCAGTTTCAAGCAGACATTTCCTGACTCCTGTATCTGAAAATACTCCTCAGCATTTGTGCAAGTATCACAACATAGGTGGACACAATATTGTTTTAGAGCTTTTGCTTTAAGAAGCAATCTTGGACTGCAAAAAAAGGTATTTTACTTTGGATTTGTATCTTAGAAAAGCATTTTTAAAATTTGTTTTATTTTTATATTTATCATACTGATAGAATTATTTGCTGTAAACCAAGTTGTGCAAATTAGTTAATTAATTTACCTATTTATTTATTTGTTTATTTATAAGTTCATTTATTTGCTTTAGAGTAGTTAACATTTATGAAATTTATTTAGTTTGGGATAAAGTGCATCCAAGTTGTACATTCTCTTAAGATCTTCATAACAAATACAATATTTTCCCAAACATTTTAATTGCTGGAAGAAAATGTATTTCGAATAATTTTACTTGTTAATATATTATGACGATCTTTACTGTGTGGAAATCTCTCTCTCTCTCTCTCTCTCTCTCTCTCTCTCGGTCTTGGTCAACATTTTCAGGAGCTTTACCACTTTTTTACTTGTTTGTTTGATAATGATTATTGTAGCTTAGCACCACAAATCAGAGCTTTTCATGAGTAAATAAGTCAATTTGTTTGTGTATTTGTTGATTAATTTATTCTTCTTTTTTTAACTAATAACAGTTGGTCATGCTGCAGAGGTCCGGCAAGTCTGTTTAGTCTGTTTCAATGTTAAACTTGTGTTGTTTTAAAATGATTTTCAAAGGGGACGATGTATAAATAAGAAGAAATAAGAAATAAAAACAGAAAAAAGTTGATATTTTACCTAAAATGTTTTCATGGATATAAATCTCACTGTTTGTCATCTTAAAACGAAGTATTCGCAAATAAAGCAATTAGTTTTCATCTATTTCTCAGTTTATGGGCCAGTGACTTCATTTCCCAGAAGGCCTTAGGAAGCTCATTACGTATTTAATCTGCGACAAGAGCAGAGCACAACATTAGCTTTAAACGGACAAATAAAATAGCAACAGCGTGTTTAAACAGATTAGTTGTCTTCTGAAGTTTTTTTTCCCCGAGTAAATAATCTCAATTTGAATCTCAGAGGTGAGTTCTAACATTTTAATAAAGTTTCAGGAAACGTTTAGGAGACGTTTGATGCCGCTAGCTAGCTAACAGCGCAGCTGGTGTGTTAACGCGGCTGAGAAAAACATCTTAAAATGTGTTAATTATTATATTTATGTTATGTGTTGCAATTTTACATGTTATTTGAAGAGCTTGAAGTAATGAAATGTCATGCAGCCACTGAAAACGAGACAAAAAGTTGTATACTACCAATAGTATTTCAATGAAATACTGTGTATGAGGTTTAAAATGTATCTTTAGCAAACTATAATTTTAGTTTAATAGCAGTTTCAGGTTTACCGGTTGCACGAGATAATTTTGGTCGTGTATAAATGTTTAGAAATCAGTTAAAATGAGTAATAATGTAAAACATAGTGATTTGCTGTACATTTGTGTTTTCAGCCTTTTGAAATAGTGAATGAGACAGTATTTGGTGTTTTAGAAAAGCAGGTTATCTCTATCTGTGTACATGTATGTGCCAGTGTTTACTTGGTTTCACTAAAATAATGTGATTTAATCCAACGAAATATCAAATTACATATTAAAATTAGATTATTTAGTAGAGGTAACTACTGGCATAAATACGCCTTCTATTAAATTTTTCCAAAGATTAATGAAGTTTTAAATTAAAGAAACAGAAGTATGGAGTTAGTGGAAAAACATGTTCAAAAATCTGAAGATCAGAGCTACAATAAAAATAGATGTTCATCATTAAGATGAGGCTTTTATTACCATTCTTTCTTTTTCTCTCTGTGTGTGTGTGTGTGTGTGTGTGTGTGTGTGTGTGTGTGTGTGTGTGTGTGTGTGTGTGTGTGTGTGTGTGTGTGTGTGTGTGTGTGTGTGTGTGTGTGTGTGTGTGTGTGTGTGTGTGTGTGTGTGTGTGTGAAAATGTAGAAGAAAAGTGCTGTTATGAATATACTGTCTAAGATGAGAAGGGGGTGTACACAGACACACACTTTGGTTTGTTTTCATGTATTTATCATCTTCATATTGTTATTTTTATTCGCTGCTCTTTTGCAGATGTCTCTAGCAGACGAGCTCCTGGCTGACCTGGAGGAGGCTGCAGATGAAGGAGAAGAAGGATTGTATCCAGATGAGGAGGAGGGAGACAGTGATGGAGAGGGGATCCAGGGAAGGACACAGGCAGGGCTGGAAGACATTCCAGAGGAGATGGAGGTGGACTACAGTAAAGCTGAAAGCGTTGCGTCCATCGCCAAGCTTCGCAACAGCAAGCAGGTTATCATCTGAGTTTTCTGTGTAGTGAGATGTACAATAAAACATTAGAATCCCACTTAACTGTGTGTGTTTTTAGTTTTCAGACATCATGGACAAAATTTCAGAATATGTGGGAAAGCAACGCAAAAATTCAGACGGTCAGTTTGATTCCTTTGAGTTTCATCAATGCTCAGGCGTCCCTCACAGCATTTAAATCAGCTCGGTGCTGACAAATCTGAAGTGATTTCTGTGTTTGTTTTTAGTCTCTGGTCCTGTTGAGGCTGATCCAGAATACAGGCTGATCGTAGCGGCCAACAACCTTACTGTGGAGATCGACAACGAGCTCAGTGAGTCAGCTGGCTGTTCCGCTGCGAGGAACCGTGACAGAAAAGCATGAGGAGTAATTCCACACATCTAATTTTTCTATTCCTTTTGTACTTTTAGACATCATTCACAAGTTTACAAGAGACAAATACTCCAAGAGGTTTCCTGAGCTCGAGTCTTTGGTGCCAGATGCTTTAGATTACATTCGCACAGTCAAGGTGAGCTGACGTCTTGATTCTGAATTTCACATTAAAATGTCACCTTTTTGAATATTTGTGTCATTGGTTAAATGTAATAAATATTTTCTGAAGGATTTGTGAAATCACACAATTCTCTGCTGTTTATTTACATTTTTAATTTTATCTCCAAACTTTTTAAACGTAAAACCGGATTAGGAGTTTTTTTTTGTTTGTGTGTGTGTGTGTGTGTGTGTGTGTGTGTGTGTGTGTGTGTGTGTGTGTGTGTGTGTGTGTGTGTGTGTGTGTGTGTGTGTGTGTGTGTGTGTGTGTGTGTGTGTGTGTGTGTGTGTGTGTGTGTGTGTGTGTGTGCAGATTTAGCAAAACATTCAGTAATATTTGTGTGTTTTTTGTAGGAACTGGGAAACAATCTGGATAAATGTAAAAACAATGAGACCCTGCAGCAAATCCTGACCAATGCAACTATTATGGTTGTCAGTGTCACCGCATCGACCACACAGGGGTGAGTTTTCCTGTCAGAATCCTGTTTGGCGAGTGAACAGCATGAAGTTTTTGAATAATTCAGATGTTAAAGGGGCATTATGGAAGTTTGACGGCCAAAACATGTATAGAAATAATAAATGTCTTCTTCATACATTCTCCTGCAATGCCCTGGTCCTGTAGAATGAGCCCTGGCATTTTTACTGTGATTGCCTGTTTTTCTGTAAAATCACAGAAAAAGAGAGATGCTCGGGTCGAGCAGGCTGCTTCATGCGCGTTCACGCTCAGGCATCGCCCGTAGCATTTGCTATCCGTAGCTTTAGCAGCAGAGAGAGAGGCAGTGCCACTTTGTCGCTGTTCCTAACGCCTAGTGACAAAGCTAGCTACATTTCTGAGGACCCTTAGCTACTTTCTGTAGAACTTTCTTCTAGATATTTCCTGCAAATTAGCAACAAAATAGCCATTTTCACTCCGAACCGTTCTTTGGTTTGATGTTGTTTCAGCTGTCATCAACGATATAAAAGTTACAGATACTGTGAATGTTACTAGAGTGTAACTCACCTTGTAAGATGTCTGACTCTCATGCAGAAGACCTGGGTTTGATTCTGGATGTGAACATAGTTTATTTAGAGTTTCTTTTTTACATTAATGGTATATTTTTTTACAGTAAGACGCCCAAAGTTTTATTTGAGACTCGCCGAACGGCATTGAATTCACAGATAAAAAAGATGTGGGTTCAACTTTCATTTTGGAACAATTTTTCAAGCAAGGGAAGGGAATGATCTGAGCATGCAGGAGGACTGACCCATCTTAAACCTTTGTCGGCTGTGCTGAAGAGAAAGGTACAGAACCAAATTATTTAATTAATTAGCTGCACGTTCTCCTGTCCTCTATCCTCGGGGACACACACACACACACACACACACACACACACACACGCACACAAGGGACTGTCTCAGCTGTTATTTTCATTTAGGAGTGTGCACGTACAGCATGCACGCCTCGTGCACGAGCCTACTATTGAAGCTGCCATTACGCTTTTGGCCTGAGGGGGCAACCGCGAGCATAAAATTTCAAAACTCCGTAAAGTCCCTTTAAAAAAACTTTTTTTTTTTTTTCAGGTGTTTGCTGAGCGAGGACGAGCTGAAGCAGCTGGAGGAGGCTTGTGACATGGCACTGGAGCTGAATCAGTCTAAGCACAGGATTTACGAGTACGTCGAGTCAAGAATGTCTTTTATAGCCCCGAACCTGTCCATCATTGTCGGAGCATCGACCGCTGCGAAGATTATGGGTGAGAGGCGGTTCACGCTTGCACCTGTTGTAGGTGTTTCAGATCTTTATTTCCTTTTCGGTATTCAGGTATCGCTGGTGGTCTCACCAACCTCTCAAAGATGCCAGCTTGTAACCTGATGCTGCTGGGAGCTCAGAGGAGAACCCTGTCTGGCTTCAGCAGCACGTCCCTGCTCCCTCACACCGGTTTTATCTACCACTGTGATGTCGTACAGTCGCTGCCGCCTGTCAGTAAACGCTATTTTAGTTTAAAACGTCTCAGAAGTGAAACCTTTTGGCTCACGGAGATCATTTTTCCCCTTCAGGACCTGAGAAGGAAGGCTGCTCGGCTAGTGGCTGCAAAATGCACCCTGGCATCTCGAGTGGACAGCTTTCACGAGAGTTCAGATGGAAAGGTGCCTGTTTCTCACACGCTTGAATATAAAATTATTTATCATTAAACTGACTCAAGTATCTCATCTGTTTTGCCAACAAAAGTGAAATCTGTCTTTGGTTATGCAGCAAATTGAGAATAAACATGTCCCTTCTTCAGGTTGGCTATGATCTAAAAGAAGAGATAGAGAGAAAGTTTGATAAGTGGCAGGAGCCTCCACCTGTGAAGCAGGTCAAACCGCTGCCGGCACCGCTGGATGGGCAGAGGAAGAAGAGAGGAGGAAGAAGGTATGGATTCAGTGAACCCGCTCAGACATTCGTGCTGTTTTTAAAAGCTTGCATAACTCACGCGGACAGGTTTAAGACCATAAGTGTGTGTGCAGCGTTCCCAGACACTCCTCTTGTCTTTCACTGTAGGTATCGAAAGATGAAAGAGCGCCTGGGGCTGACAGAAATCAGGAAACATGCCAACAGAATGACCTTTGCAGAGGTTTGGATATTTTCTCAGCTAGAATGTATAATATTGGATGTGACGTCATTTTCATGCAGGATTAGGATCAAAATTTAAAGGCTAATTATTCCTTGGAGGTAAATTTAAGTCTTTTAAATCATTTTGACTGTGGGTGTGAGGTTTTTCTCCAAACCTGAACAGATGATGGTAAAATAAAACCTTTGCCTTTAAAAAGCAAGTCACCCCCAAATCAACTTATTTTTCCTGATATATAAATGTGTGTCTAATCGTGCTGCAGACACGTGTCGTCAATAGTTTTGCACTTTAGTGCATTTGAGTTAAAATTAAAATTTTCTGCCTAACGCCAGGGACACACCGGCCGCCGAAGCGCCGCGAAAAGGGGACCGCCTTCATTCGGCGCCCTTGTTATCCTATTCTATAGACCACATGGGCCGCCGAAGCGCGCCCTGCAGCGATCGTTTCGGCGTATGCTCTATTTTTTTCGCGAGCCGCGGGTGAACCGCGTCAATTCTGGCAGGAAGTCAAACCTAGACATTAGAGGCAGGCCGGTAAATTTAACAAAATAAAGCATTTCAAAATACAATTCCACGATAGTCAAATGTGTTCGTAAACAGACACTGCATAAAAACCACACACACACACACACACACACACACACACACACCTAAGCGGCCCTCAGTTCATATTGCATGGAGCTCAGTGGGACGGGGGCAGGCTTAGCAAAAATAAAATAAGACATATTTCATACATTATATCACAGTACATGATAAGACAAACATTGAAAAATCTTAGGTGTGTGTGTGTGTGTGTGTGTGTGTGTGTGTGTGTGTGTGTGTGTGTGTGTGTGTGTGTGTGTGTGTGTGTGTGTGTGTGTGTGTGTGTGTGTGTGTGTGTGTGTGTGTGTGTGTGTGTGTGTGTGTGTGTGTGTGTGTGTGTGTGTGTGTGTGTGTGTGTGTGTGTGTGTGTGTGTGTGTGTGTGTGTGTGTGTGTGTGTGTGTGTGTGTGTGTGTGTGTGTGTGTGTGTGTGTGTGTGTGTGTGTGTGAGACCACGTGAAGGGGTGTGGTTTTGGGGGTCTTTCAACCGGAGCAAACAGGACAGAGAGGCAGAAAGTCGTAGGCCAGCTATTAACAACTGGTTCACACCATAGGTTCACACACACACAAACAGCAAGGGGGAGGGGGGTGTAGAGGAAAAGGCGGAGAGGAAATGGAGGACACTAAGTGGTTAAAAGAAAAACTACGAGGTGCGCCTCGACCAGAGCGGAGAAACAAGCGGCTGGTCTGAACTGAGGAGCAGTGAGCTGCGGCCGAATTTCGTGAGCGCTTCGGCGGCCGGTTTGTCCCCAGCCTAAAACTGTCAGTGTTGTGCCGTTGTCAGGTAAAAACTCTGCACTGCATTTGAATTTAAATCTGCCATCGCTATTGGCTAAGAGGTACCCTAGAACGTTAGCTGGTACCATAGTGTCGTTGTGAGCCTGTGTGTGTGTGTTTCCTAGCGGCTCCGCCCTCTCGCTCTGCTAGGAAACAGCATTTGTTGCATTTTTCAAACAGGAAGTGGGAGTTGAGTAATACTCTGGTAGGGGGTGACTTGCTCTTTAACTACTCAACTTTATTCTTTCAAAAGTGACTTTGATCTGGGGTTCTTTAAGCATCCTAAATGTTTTTATACTTGTATCTCTTAAATGAGTCGTTCTCTCAAAGTTTCTTTAACTCTGCTGTGGTCTCAAGTGTGAATTAATGCTTGTGGTAATAAAAAGTTCTGGCGCTCCCGTTTCGTGAGGTAGAAGTTTGTTGAGAGGAAAGGAGGCAGAAAATAGCGGGAATTCTATCTTGCTCATTAATATTAATGATGTTCAAACATCTCGCCTTTTGATTGGCTAACAGCAACATGACGTTTCTACTGAAACTTCAACGTTGATGTTTTATCTCCACAAATAACACAAGCCTGGAGGAGTTCTGCTGTGTGGTGAAGTTGTTAATGCTAACAGTTAGCGTCCCCTAGCTGAGACGTTCTCTGCTGTTTCCTTGACGCTAAACCAACAACAGCCCTCCCCGTTGCGAGTTAAGATGACTCCATGAATGTTGAGCAACGGTGTGACGTTGATCTGTCAGGAATTTTCTAATCTGAGCATTTCCCCGTTAGCATTAGTGACCTCACAACATGGCAGAACACGATCAGACTTATTTGTGGGAGTAAAACATCATCGTTAACGAGGAAGACTTTGAATCTCGTCATTTTCCATCCCTCACTCCTCGGGTTCCTGAAACGGTAGCGCCAAGAGCTGAAAACGACTCGCAAGGCATTCGTCTCTAGAGAGCACAACATATGTATTAAAACCAGTTTATGCTAACTTTAGTTAGCTGGCTATTTACAGAGAATTTTAGTTCCCTCAAACGGCAACTTGTGCGGTCTCTTCTGGGAGGTTGAACATCATGGACAACAGCCCCGAGTCATTCTGCCCCCCCTCACCCTGACCTCCGACCCCTTTAGGACTTTAAAGCTTATTTGACCGTAAGGATTTGAGCTCGTTGATGTTGCAGATTGAAGATGACGCCTATCAGGAGGATCTGGGCTTCAGTCTGGGTCAGCTGGGCAAGAGCGGCAGCGGCAGAGTCCGGCAGGCTCAAGTCAACGAGGCCACCAAGGCTAGGATCTCCAAGTCGCTGCAGGTAAACTCGGTCGTTATTTTAATCTCCACCTCCAGATTATTGATAGTCCATGATCTGAACCTTGTTCTCTGTTGTCAACCACAACAGAGGACGTTACAGAAGCAGAGCATGACCTATGGCGGAAAATCCACAGTGAGAGACCGTTCCTCGGGAACCAGCTCCAGCGTCGCTTTCACTCCGCTCCAGGTATGAACCGGATGATCAGTGGAAGAGTTCTCTACTTTCTGCTTTTCATTCATTCATTCATTCATCTGCAGGGCCTGGAGATTGTGAACCCGCAGGCTGCAGAGAAGAAGGTGGCTGAAGCCAACCAGAAATATTTCTCCAACATGGCGGAGTTCCTCAAAGTCAAAAAGGATGCTAAGATGTGAACGTGTTCAGTGATGACATCATCATGTACATTAAATTAGCCCCTATTGTGCTTCGCTTTTATTTTATTTTTTTACCATTTTCTTCATGTGAATAAACCACAGAAACCCCAAAGCGTGTGCCACCTTTAGAACCTTACGCCTGAACTTTGACCTTTTAGGTTTAACCACCTTGTAAGCAGAGCGAATCCCCCTGGGAGCAGCGAGACCTTACACCACCACACACCCATGTGTAATTTCTTAAAAGTATTTATTGAAATTTTACAACTGTTTCATAATCCCATTTTATAACATCTCCCATGCAGAACTGTGATGAGAAAACGGTTGAAATTCACATTTTTTGCGACTTCTTAGCTGACCTTCCTCTCTGAAAACCTTAAAAGCCCCAAAAATATAATGTATTAAAGGCAGATCTCAGAACTTTGCATCTTCTTTTTCCCCCCTTCAACACCTCCTCCTTAAAATAAAATCAAAAATTGATCCGAAACATGAGTTTAACATCATCCAGATCTGCAGTTCTTTTTTCCTCTGTTACACTTAAAAATGGAAAAGTTGGATTTTTGTTTAACACTCCGCCCGTTCGGACCACCGAGGAAAGTCTGGCAACACGACCCCATCCCACATGTTGAATTTACCACCTGAATTTTAGTATTTCTGTATTTAAACTCTACATGTAAACAGTTCAGTGTACATTCACTGGATGGGGTTAAAAATATCAGGTGGTAAATTGAACCGAGTGGACTTACTCGACCAGTTCACACGGAAACTGGCTTTCCAGCAGTGCATTATGGGAGCGATCAGGAGGGTTTGGGTGTCGCTACATTCACCACACTCTGCATGGACCTTCTTCTGCACTGAGAATGACAAATCCTCAATGATATGAGTCAAACATCAAGTAGATAAATGTCTCCAAACCCTAATATTAAGATTTATTTTTTTTACAAGTAGTCACAAACTTGAAGGTGCCAGAATGTCTTACAGCTTAACTTAAAAACATTTTATTGGTAAAGAGAGGGAGTCAGAGACTAGTTCAATTGCATAGCAATTTAATCCATGTCCAATAAGGACTCTTTCCCTGTCACAGGGAGAGGCCCTGTGGTCACTCAATCATATTTGAATCGACCCGAGACAATATCAAAAAACTATTGATAACTGCTCACTATCTTCAATAGTGACCGTGTTCAACAGGCGCTGTAGGGTCTTGAAAGAAGCCGTTCCTACACACCCTGACTAAAAGTCCGCTGGACGTCCCCGTTCTAAACCACCAACATACAGAAAATACAAGATGGGCACCTTAACGGTCAGATTCAAGGTTGTTTTGTGTCAAGTCGAAGACTTCCAGGCTCGTGTTGGGTAGGTGGAACAGAATCGTGTGGAAACGGAAAAGAGAGGAGAAGGGGAGGAAAAAAAAAAACCATGCATGGGGTAGGCTTTCCTAATGCCACATACCGAGTGTGCACACAGACAGGCACAAACGCAGATCCCCAACGAGAGCCTTCCCAGCTCGTGCAGCGCGGCGTGTTTGATCAGACCCACGGGGCGTTGTCAACAAGCAAAGCACTACACGAGGAGCTAGGCGCTTCACGCCGAGACGCAGCCTATACAGACGCCAGTCTCCGCTTCAGGAGAGGATTTCTACTACACATCACAATCTCTATCCACAGTTTTGGAGTTCAGTCTCGGAATGTCAACAGCAGCACGGTTCGTCTGTCCCTCCGTCCTTTTCGCGTCCTCTCTGCGTCACTGCAAGTCTCTGTCTTCGAGGTACCTGTACTCGAAGGTGAACCCCTCCTTCTTCCTCTGGCCCCATTTCTCATAGTCAAAGTAAATGTAAGTGCCCTGGAGAAGGAGAGGAACGTTAGTAAACTCAAACCGCAGATCGGGAAACCCGGAGATGGCGGAAATCGCTGCACCTGTTCAAACTCGTCAGTGATCGTCTTGGGCTCCTCGTGCCTCTGAAACCACATCATATACTTGGTGTGAAACCTCCACGATTGTTTCTTCAGCGCCTTGGCAGACAGATACTGAGCCTTGGTGCCCTGAGACAGGAGAAAAAAAGATCGTAATCTCGGAAAACGCTAATCGGGGGCTTATCCGTCTAACGAGGTGGCTCCTTACCTCCAGGTAGTAGAAGATAAAGAACAGAGTTTCTGTGGACAGCCTCTGGTAGAACTCTATGGTGTCAGAGTGGTGTGGTGGTACCTGATGCTGGTAGGGCAATGTGGGACATGGATTCCTCATCAGGTATTGCCTTTGAGAAAAAAAAAGTGAGATAAAATCAAATAAAGCACCTCAGACGCTCAAATCCAAATTCTACTTCGATAAATCCCAATAACGTAACGTCCAACAGAAACAGCCTAATCATGGACGAAAAGATTTAAAACTAAATCGCCATCGTCATGACAACACACGCATGTCTTCACAGTTGCTACTTTGTGGGTCTGAAGCTGAAAGGTTTATGAACCACTGGAATAAAGAAGAATACACTAAATGTGTGTTTATGGCACCAAACTAAGAAGTTCACAAAGAGCCGACTGATGAGACCTTCAGGTATTAGATCCCAGTGGTTACCACGGCTCAGACAGACAGGAGGTCAAAAGTGACCAAAAATAAAAACAACGGTGCTTCCTATGTAGACACACACACACACACACAGTAAGTATTATGGACAGTTGTGAAGCATTGTGGGAGTAATAATTAGGGATGTAAGAAAATATCAATATGGCAATATATCGTTATATTTCTTACTGTAATATTATATCGGTATTCAAAAGCCACGTATCAAATGTTTTGAAAGAATTTACATGCAAACATTTGTGTATTTTCATTTCTTTTGGTGTAATTCAAACGCCGACCGCTAGTTGGCAGCAGTGTGCAGTGGGTTTTGTTTCCACCATTGAAATGTAAATCCCTCTACTATGGTCCAGATACCTCACGTTAAACATGTTACGCATCAGTTTGGACTGTTTATTGAATTTTCCTACAATAAATTCAGTCTAAATAAATTGTTAATAACGTCTGGCTGAATATATCGCAATAAATCGTGGTATTTTGTATTGTCCGACACGTATCGTATCGCCATAATTTCACATCCCTAGTGATAACATATAAAAGTATCAGCTGTTCTGCTACGTCGGTAGTTTAGGGAGCATCCAGTTCAGAGGTATAAGTATCAGCTGTTCTGCTACGTCGGTAGTTTAGGGAGCATCCAGTTCAGAGGTATAAAAAAAAAACAGCTAAACGTGGAGCTTTGCATCCCAGCAGCTATGCAGCAACATCAGGGTATGTGCAGGGATCTCCAAGTCAAATCTGAGACCTTTTAAGAATGAACAACTATCATATATTCTTTTAAATACTGCATTGCTTCGTTTTCCACTTCATTAATCGGCCGGATGCGTTGCATCCGGGTCAGCCAGGCTGTAGCAACGGTACGGAAAGTCATGTGATGCGTAAACACAAGCAAACAGCTGGCACAGAAGAACAAAAGAACATTTTAGTTATTACCATACTGGTGTGAAAAAGGTGCCGACTAAAATGTCCGCTGGACAGGAGTGAATCTTTATTATTATGCAGCAGGTTGAAGAAGTTCCCCACGTTTCTTTTGTATACAGAAAATGTTTCCACTGTGTAGTCGTCAGAATTTGGGTATTGGCTCAACGAGTTGAGTTGGTGATTCTTGTTCCTTTATTTTTATTTTCCTTTCTGCAATGATTGGACCGAATAAACGAATTTTAAAAAAAAATCAACGTTAATTAATCGTCTTAAATAATTCAGATCTGAGTTATAATTTTTACCATAACGGAGCCGCCCAAACAACACCAAACATGAAAAATCTGGAAATATTCCAAATGCCCGTTCATCCTTAAGAGCTTCTCGTGTGTTCATGAGCGCCGCTGCTCTGATGAGTTGGTTGTGCGAGCGCTAGGGAAGTGAATCTTAGAGCAACTCACGATTTGATTCGGTTCCGATTCTCGGAGGTGCCGATTCGATTCAGAATCGATTCTTGATTCTCAATTTAAATCGATTCACAATCAGTATTAACAAAGAGTGTCAGCTCCAGGATGAACTACTTTGTTGTGCAAGTTAGTTAAAGCTATGGGACGTTTTTATTTGACTTTAAACTGGTCGTGCTCCAAAAACGCTAATTTACAATGTAAAATAAAGTGATTCTAAAACTGTAAACAGAAACAATCTTTTGACCAAAAGGCAACGTTTATTTTTGCTTACCTTGTAAAATATAACAAATCTGTAGTTACCTAACAGTAGCTTTGAAAGTAATACGGTCAAATACTTTATGTGTAGAAACAAGTTACATGAGTAATCCTGAGTACTCATTTATCAGTTTAGAAAATAAATATGAGAATATCTCAAATTTCTGAGTATGGAAAAAATAACATTCAAGCGCCCTCTTAGCAGATTCAAACATAAATCATCTCAATTTATGGGACCACAAAAGTAATCGGAGTACTGACTCTCCTAACAAAGATCAAAAAAGTGCATGTCAAACCTGTAACGTGCCAAATATTTGAGTTCTTGGAATCGATTCTGAATCTTTATAAGAATCCCGATTCAGACTTGAATCGATCTTTTTCAGCACCTCTAGTGAGCACTACGCCGTTTTTGCTGCTCTACGTTAATGAACCACTGTTAAAGAGCAAAATGCCGTTCTGCTTGCGCTTTAGCGCTGCACAAACGTTACAATAAATGATCTCATCTCGTGTTCCTCCTTAAATCTTCTGGTGCCACTAAACTGGGAGGTCTTTTGAAAGGCTGCAGCATGCTGGTGCTAATTTCTTACCAGAAAATAAATATTAATGTTGCTAATATTACGTTTTAACGGGGCTAAAAATACTGTCTGTATTTATGTTAAACTCTAAAAACACAACGAGCCTGGGGAAACATCTGCCAAGGCTGAAACCTGCTAGAGTCCTTGAGAGGAAACCGAGGTATTTAGTAGTGACCATGGACGTAATTTTCACTTTAGAAGTGGGGGGGACACGTGGGGGGGGGGGGGGGGGGTCTTTACAGTATGCTCTAATGGGAAACAGTTTAACACAAACGGCTGTTTTCCGCTTTGTCTTAGAGCTCAACCAGTGTCAATTTAATATAGCGTAATATTGTTTTTGGATGGTAAAAAGTGCAGGGGTCAAAACTTGATTTTGGAAAAAGTGGGGGGGACATGTCCCCCCTGTCCCCCCCCCCCAAAAATTACGTCCATGGTAGTGACGTTGTTTGATATGATGAACGTTAAGCTCTGAGCGCTGCGAGATGTTGCAGCAGCAGTAGTCACACGCGCTGTGTGGCCGAACTCCTGCAGCGTGTTTTTGCTAAACCGTCTCTGTGACTGTGATTGGTCAAATGGTGACTTGTGACTCACTATAACAAAGATGGCCTCTCCTTTTCCTGGTTCTTATAAAGAGCGACAGACTCCCCCCCCAAAAAAGACCCAACCCTCCTCAAAATAAAAACTCTTCAATTCACGCAAACTTTATATTTGGCTTCAAAAACAACCATTTTTGCCAAAAAGCGACAAGTTTACAAGTTTGAGGCAAACATATTTTATATTCACTTCAACACTAACTACATTTAAGGCTTTACTAAATCGATTTAAGACTTTATAACCCTTCCACTGTCTTTAAGGGTGACCACGGACCATTGAGCAGGATTGATGGGGACGGAAGTGATGGAACAAGTTTGTCCCGTGTTAAAAAGTCTCTGAAATACGTTAAAACTACATAAAGAAAATAGTAAATACACCATCTTGGACAGGACACATGACCAATATGGTGAAAGAATTTCACAGAAAAATGCTACGCTATACTTTACAACACCCCCCAGGTGACGGAGAAGTCTGAAGGGAAAAAAATCTTCATCAATGTGTCTGCACGGCTCCACACTCAAGCTGACGGAGAAGTATAAATCAGGCTTTAGGCTGCTATAAGCTTAGAAGCTCTGATATCTGGGAGGAGCTCAGAGTAGAGCTGCTGTTCCTCTTGCACACAAGAGGTGGTTTTACGCTCAAATGCTGGTGGTGGTCAGAGGGGCCGGTGTTTGGCTGCCTCGCCTGTCAGTGCACCCCAGGGCAGCTGTAGCTACACTGTGGCTCATCATCACCAGCGCGTGAATAGGTGGATGACTGATTCAGTTGTGAAGCACCTTGGGGGGGGGTTGTAGAACCATAAGAAGGCACTATACAAACACAAGCTATTAAACTTTAACCCTCCCACTGTCCTAATGGGTGTGACCCCGCGAGGAAAGTTGAGCAGCGTTGATGGTTTATCCCTAGAGGTCCACGTGGCAGGGGTGAGGTGGTGCTCACTCCTCACCCCTGCCACATGAACCCAAGGGATAAACCATCAACGTTGCTCAACTTTCCTTGCGAGGTCACCCATTAGGACAGTGGGAGGGTTAAAGGTCCTAATTAAGAACTTTTAAGCCTTTTAAGGACCCCGCAGACACCCTGACATGCACGCAACACTTTAAATCAGGAGTAAAACAGTCAACACTAGAAAGACAGCGGGTCTTGACATAAACTCAACTCTCAACTCAACTTTATTTATAAATCGTGCCTTACAGGCAAAAAGATGCCACCAAGGCGCTACACTGATCAAGTTAAAACATAAAACATTAAGTCCAGAAAATAAAAACATTGGATCACAAGATACAGATAAAAAATACAGTGAGTACACAGATTGCTGTAAGTAAAACAATAAAAACTAGTTAGAAAGGTTAAAAGTGATCATAAAAGTAGGTTTTTAGCCTTGCCTTAAAAACCGCAACAGAGGTGGAGGCCCTTATGCTGAGAGGAAGCTCGTTCCAAAGCTTAGGACCTGCCTGGTACCGAGAGGAGCATGAGGTTCTCCGAGCGGAGTGACCATGCAGGGGTGTGCGGTTGAAGCAGTGACACGAAGTAAGGAGGGGTCAAACCATTTAACGTTTTAAAAACCAGTAAGAGTATTTTAAAACGAATCCTTACATCAACGGGCAGCCAATGAAGCGCAGCCAGGACAGGAGTGATGTGGTCATGCCTGCACCTGCCCTCTAAAAATCTGGCAGCAGCATTCTGCACCATTTGCAACGTTGGCATCCGTGACCACGAAGGCCACTGAAGCTGCGGCGTACTCACCTGATTCGCTCAGAGTCGGAGGGGTGTGGCATGTGTGTCCACGCAGCTTCTTGCATCGCCTGCTGGTAGAGCTGGTCTTTGGGGAGAGGAGTCGGGCCCAGTGGACAGACCCCGAGTGATGGAGGGATGCTGACCTCCGACGAGGGCTGAGGGGCGGTGGGTGTGCCCGGTGCTGCTGATGAACCAGAGAAGATATCTATGGGACAAAAAATAAATAAAAATAGCATAACAGTCACAAAAAAGCCATGACATCACCTCAGCGGGCACAACGGACCGCTAATCAGTTCCTTTGTTGATAAAACCAAATACAGCTAAGGACAGGAGGCAGGGTTTAAGGTGATAATTGATGCTGACCGTTTAGGCCTCTGTCGGTCACATGGAGGTTGGGAATGTCTCCATCGTGACTCGATCCGAGCGCTGCCCTCTGAGCTATCGCCTTCAGAGAACTGAGACCTTTGGGAGGCTGAGGAGGAAACAGGATGAGGATAACATGTTTAGATAACTGAAAAAAATACCTGTAAGACCGATTCTAATCATCACCGAGGAGAAAATAAAAATACATGAAGACATTAAAATAAAGAACTTCCAGTCATTTAGACCCACGTTCCACCTAATATCAGAGTTCATCTCTAGTGTCTGCGCCCAAATCAAACATCCATCACAGCAGCACGTCATCTCTTCAGTAACTCTTTTACTAACAAGGGGCTAAATACTCCAAATCAGCTCATTTGACTAAATGTTTGCTTGCTGGGTAATCCCAAAGTCTTTGAGATTATAATTTATGCTGCATTCTTTGAGTTTGTAGTGAAGACATCAAGATGATTCTCCATGTGCTGTTATAGTAGCTCTGGTTGTCTAAGTGTGGCTAGCAACACACGTTTAGGATTTGTCAACCTGAACATGTGAACATAAGTACCTGACACATGCTTAACGAATAACCAACTAAAAAAACTGTTTTTTTTAAAAATCAGCCAAATTGTTCACAGAAGACAACAAATCTGTGTTCATCCCAGCCCTGCTGTGCACTCTCTTGGCTCGTTGGGACACTTAAATGGACCCGAGCCATCGTTAACAAAATCTGAGTCACCTGTGATCATCCTGCTGAGACAAGACCGCGGAGAAGAAGTCAGCTTCTCAGGAGAATAATTAAGAAATGAGCAGAATCAGCGACAGACTGATACCCAGGCTGATTACTGGCTAAAGGACAAGAAGAAACGCTACAACTCCAAAGTGTCACGGCAGATGTCCCATTAATGCATAATTAGTAGACAAAGCTTCTTATTCACAGTCCGGAGCGGTTCTGGCTAATCACACGTGTTCAAGAGTAAAGAGGCTCACCTCGAGGGGCTCGGACTGCTGCGTGTACGGGTGGGGGCCGTTAAGAAGACTCCCTCCGCCAGGTGTACTGTCTGAGAACGAGGGGGATGGAGAGCTGGGGGGCAGGGTGATGGAGCTGATTAAACTGGGACCATTGTCCATCCTGCAAAATGCAGATAAAGAGTTGAGGCCCAGCAATAAAACCAGACAGACACACAGATTCAGGAAGGACTTACGGCTGGCTGTTTGAGCTGAGGGACGAGGGCTGGCTGTTTTGTGACTGGCTGGGTGTGCTCAGAGCTGATTCTGTGGAGCTCTCTGCCACTACGGCGCTGTAACCTGAGAGCAGGCGAGGCACGAGTTAGAGGAAGCCTTTACGGAACGAGCCTACATAAATAAAAAAAGACGTCGACTTACTTGTGCTTCCGTTTTGTTTCAGTCCACTCGGTGGTCTAGCGGGAGCAGCATTCCCTCCCACTGACCCCACCACACCGACGCTTCCTCCATTCCCGGCCATCCTGCCAGCTACTCCTGCTGTAGAGCTGACAGAAGTGGGTGGCACCTGAGAGGTAGCAGGGGTCACGCCCTGTCCTGGGACCAGATTCAAAATACTCCCACTCAGAGAGTTGTGGGCTGGGCTGGAGCCTAGCAAAGAAAGCCCCGACGCCGCTCCGTTGGTGGTGACTCCGCTGGAGCCGGAGGTGGACGTGGAAGTGCTGCTCTCGGGTAAAATACTGGACTGAGTAGTGCTGCTCAGCCCCAAACCTCCAGATGCCGCTGCGTGAGCATAAAGGACAGACGTGGACCCTGAAATGAGGCCTGCCATTGTGTTTAAAGGAGTAGCGTGGCCAGTCAAACCTAAACTTGGCATTTGGTTGGCACTGCTGGTCCCGGTGAGGCCACCTTTTCGTAAATCCAGCCCCAGACCCAAACTAGATATGGAGGTAGGCCCAGGTGTGGGCTGAGTCTGAGAGTGGGGAGCTGACGAGCTGGGCGTGCTGGATGCGGTTAGAGATGGGGCGGTGGATGTTGGGAGGAGAGGGTTGCTGGGCGGGCTGGGGGTGTTGTTTGAAGGAACAGAGGGTTTAGTCTGAGGTGGCTGCTGCTGCGATTGGTTTGATTGCTGAGGTTGTTGCTGCTGTTGTGCAGATTGATGCTGATGCTGCTGTACTGCGCTGCTGAAACTTCCTATGAGAGTGCTGCTCATGGGAACCGCGGGAACGCCTCCGACTACGCTCGCCATGGATATGAGGGAAGAGGACGAGGAGGACCCAGAGGTGGTGGAAGATGAGAAAGACGACTGAAGGGATGGGGTGCCGTTCTTCACGGGTGACTGAAACTGAGAAAAAAAAATAAATCTTAATCAAATCTGTCCAAAAAAACAAAAACAAACAAAGTTAGCAGAAAAATGTGTGTGTGTGCAGAAAGAAGCTAGCTAAATCAGAAATCTGCACCCACAGAGAACTTTTACTTCCATTTCAGTGTCTGAGAAGTTAAATCTCCAGGACAACGGGTGAAGAGTGCTGACACAGCACAGAGCCTCTCACCTGACTAACTTCACTGTCCGTCGACCGTCCCCTTTTCTTATCGTCCTCTGAGTTCTCCTACAGGGGGAGACACCTTGATATGAAAACCTGCTTCTCAAATGTTGATTCAGCAAAGTATCCGTAGGAATATAAAACACCGAGCCCAGAGGAGAGCTCAGCTGAACACACCGAGTATCTTTCTTTTTTTATCACAGATAAATGAGAACTTACAGCAGTGCAAGTGGCTGGAGATGGAGGGATCGGTGAAGACGACGTGGTAGAGGTGGGAGTGCTGCTAGAGTGGAGATACAAGTCGTCTTCCACATTTCCCTGACCTGACGGAGAAGTTGCGACTAATGCGGCTGCAAAGGGAAAACGGGAAATAACCGCCGATTATGTTGGGGGCGAGAAAAAAGCAAAAGACCAAAGTGACACATAGGAAAAAGTCTCACGTATGTCTTCCAGGTCCAAGTCGTCATACAGAAACTCGTTCTCTTCAAAGTCCGGGTCTTGGGAGGAATCGATGTAATACTCCACATCATCCTTGATCTTTTGAATGGCATCCACCGGCACAGAGTCGTTGTCCAGCATTCGTAGGATGGTCTCCAACATGCGAATGTGGAATCTGTGCCTCTCAATCAGCCGCTTGAGCTCGTCAATACGATCTTGTTTCTGCATCAGAAAAACAAGTTTACCGAAACGTTTACTAGACCGTCAGCAGCGATGAATGACTGCTAGTGAAGAGCAGGAAGACTTGCCTCTTTGTCGCCCTTCTTCTTTCGCGTCTGGACAGAAAGAGATTCCACTTCACTCTCAAACTGATCCACCTGCATGTTGAGTGTGTCTATTGTATTCTGAGGATGGAGAGAAAAGCAGTGGTGAGTATTTGAACACCTTTCTGGCTAAGCTAGAAAGTAGATAACAGTGGTGCTTTTACTGTTAGCCACTGGCCCGTCTCTTCCTTTTCTCTCTGAGCTGGATCCACCTTCTGAGCAAGCCCCAAGCCTTCTTTAGAGTACGCTTTTGTTTTTGTTTCACGTTCCACCACTTTGAACCGTTCCATTTGCTAAAAGAAACACTAATCATATTAGTCTCTGTACTGGCTTTTAAACCAAACTCCTTTTAATTTCTTCAGACGATACTTTTTTCTTAAGGGGAAACAATCCTCTAATGGACTAAAAGGTGCTGCAAACACTAAGGAAACCAATTAATACAAAATATGTTGCACTGATAATGAAGACCATGCAGGCGGTTCCGTGTTTCTGTCCCAATCTATTCTTCTGCATTCCTGTTAACAGAGATAATTACAGCTGCGACAGAAAAGCTTGTTAACAGAAGCAGATCGGTGATTCTTCCAGGTGAGTTTTTACACGTTTTGTAAGCTGCATAGTTGTCAAGCATTTCGGGATGAACTGCTTTATGAAAACATGCAACAACAGAATCATTTAGATGGTAAAGTCTAAAAAGCCATACCGTCTCTATAAGTTTGCGATTCTCAACTAGCTGCCTTTTGTCTTTGATCTCGTTGGAGGCCACCCATGTTTTTATCTGATCTCTCAATCGCTAAGGGGGAAAGTGAATGTTAAAACATGCAGCTCATTTTTGCAACACCAATACTTTCGATTTTATTAAATAAAATGTGTCTTTGGAGAACTGGTCTCACCTGTAGTTTTTTAATCTCTTTCTTGAGGTCAGCCTCATATTTTTCCTTCTGGTTTGCATTGGCAGCATTATGGAGCTTAAAAGTGGGAATGCAAGAGAACAAATGTAGATTTGACTGCTTTGGTTAGAAAATCCCACAAATGCTTGCTGTGAAAAGTTCTTACCTTTTGCCAAATATCTTCAAATTGTTCTACGCCCTCAGCTACTTTTTTCAAACATCTGTCGATTTCACCTGCAGGGGTAAAAGATGAGGTCAACATGGCACTGGTCATAAGGCAGCCATCCAAAAGTACCTCACAAGTTTGGGTGGAATTTCAGGGCTCAGTTCTTCCTGCCAAGCCGGATAAAGTCTGATCAAATTTACCTTGAAGTTTTCTCTTGTCAGCCATGGCTCTGACTACGACAATGTCCACATTCCGTCTGTCAAAAAGTCAGCTGTGCAAACAAAACAAGCATGTATGAATTCATTGTTCAAACTAAACAAAAATCCCACCAACAGCAGCAGCCGTACATCGGTTTGCTGCGAGTGAAACTGACGTTAACTCCATCCTGCCGGACAGTTGACATTAGCTTAAGAAACACAGCCGCTGCACAATTAAAGCACGTTGATCAAAAACGTGTGTATGTCAGCCTCCTCACCCTTCTATTACATCAACTTATACTATACAAAATAATACATATATGACTGATATGGATGGCAGCTAAAATTAGCCAGCTTGCGAGCTAAAGCTAGCCAGTTGCTCGTTCACTTCGCTCGGTTACAAACTGGTCCTTCCTATAGCAAGCGTCCAGAATCACATTATTTCGTGTATTTCATATTCATGCATCATTACTCTTGGGTATATCATAGTCGTTATAAGATATATTTGCGTTATGGAATATCAAAATAAACCAGAATCCGTTATAATCTTCGATGTGCGAGCTAATATAGCTAAATGGCTAACTAGCCGCTTAGCTAGCCAAATTAAAGAAAAAGGGAAAACTGGGTCAAACCGACCATCTACATTTATACTTGTGTACGACATTTACCTAGGGTATGGGAATGCGTTTTTCTTATTTCAAATAAAGCCAAAACTTATTCCAGAAAGTCTTCTTTACTTCCAAAATGTGTTTTCTTTTCGATAGGCTCGCTCACTGTAATGTAGCTGAAGATGGACGGTAGCTTAAATCCCACCTCCGCATTTGGGCCCCGCCCCAAATCTGTTTTAAGATAGGTGATTGGACGAAAATCACGCCCGTCATCTTGGAATAAAAGCAACTATTGGCTCCGCAGTCGGATGAATTATGATCGACACAAAGCAGCCTAGAACATATATTTTCATTTTTAAATCTTCCAGGTTTCTATTAATTTCTCAGGTGGACTTTACCTCAGTCACATAAGCTGTCGTCTGCTGCTGGGATCAATAAAACTATTAATTTATTGATTCCATGTGACAACTCAACATTCAGGCAGAACCTTATTTAAACTTTTGCCTGACTTTAAAACATGTCAATAACCTTGTTGCATAGAAAAGTGAAACAGAAAAAAAAACAGCCAAAACATGAATTACTTGTTTAAGGTTTATTTTGCAGTTGTTTCAGAATTTAAAATACAAAATACTAATAAACTGAAAACATCATATATCGTTTAAAATAACGCCTCTGCCTTCTCCCTGAGATTTCTTCGTATTTTTGATGACTTGACAATATTTTTTTTCCATTTAGTTTTCTCTCCTAGTGTAATATCTACACAGCCATGAGCTTTAATAACTAAAACTACACAATATACAAATTAAATGCACATAATTAAAGTACATTAATAGTATTCATCCTCTCCTTTTCCAAGGATCAGATCAGTGAGACAGAGATGTTGGACTCGGCATTTCTCCAAACGGTGTCTCTGGTAACACAGAAACTTCAGGTTCAATCTGAAAAAGTTCAATGAAACATTATTAGAAAGAAACAACTTTTCATTGTTAGATGTTTTAAACACTTCCTGGTTCAGTCCCGTAACCCATCGTCCACTAACCTGCTGGTCTCTGTCCTTTTCTTGCCGAGGAATCCTGTGCCTCTTCTTCTTCGGGCCTGCTGCAGACGAGCCGGACACACCGTTGAGTCTTTCATCCTCAACCCCTGCAGAAGGATCTAAGTGGACTCCAGCCTCATCCTGAAACAATGAAGGTTAAAAGTATAAGCCAGAATATTTATAATAAAACGAACCAAATCTGCACAAACTCCTACTTAAAAACAAATGACTGTGCACATAACAGGCCAATAGATAAATGTAGGTCTAATCTTTACCTCGAGCAGTACCGTGAGCTGAGAGTTTCTGTAATCATCTCCATGAGCATCTAAAGTTTTCATCAAAAACCTGTAAACATCAGTAGTTTTCAGATGAGTAATCAAGTAGAACAGTTCTCAGACGATGTAAAAAATGACGTGAAATTTAATACCTCCTTTCTTTCTTCAAACGTCGTGTAATTCTTTGCACTTGGTGAAGGCGAGCCAGGATTTTCTGGTTTACCTAAACGCACAAAGTGAATTAAAAGATGCAAATCATTTCTGATTCACTCATTTATCATTAAATGAAAATATTCATATTTTTATCTGGGACTGTGGACATGAAAATAACACATTACTTAAACTCAAGCACTTCAGTGTCAGATTCTTCCTGTTTCACAGGAAACACATTCAGGAAGTGACCCACATTCGGAGGACCAACGTTAACAGTCACCTGTTCGATTTCTTTACATCTCCTGCTCAGAGCCAGATATTTTCTTTTGTCTAGAGCTCTTCTCTCTTCGTCGTCTTCCGCTGTGTTCTCTAGCAGCTCGTTACCTCCTGGACCCAGCTCCACCTGAGGAGAAAAATGTGTGAAAAAGTCAGAATTATTGCTGTTCGGCTTCCCGTGGGTTTACAGATGAACACATGAGACAAGCGTCCCGCCGGGGTCTTCCTCCCCAGACTGATTCACCAGAGGCAGAACAGAGCCTGAGATTTCCATGTTTAACTTTTGTTATTGCTTTTATTCTACGTGGTAAATGGCCTTTATTTGATATAGCAGCTTCTAAAGTTCTATAAACCCCCCAAGGCTCTTTACAACACAACCAGTCATTCACCCATTCACACACTGGTGGGGATGAGCTACGATGTAGCCACAGCTACGACCCAGCTCTCACCCTGGATTCTCATGTCAGTTCTCTTGTTCGATCTTCCTTCTTCCATCTCAGGAACGTTGCTAAGCTGAGTCCCATTCTGTCCCGCTCTGAACTTGAGACAGTTCTCCACACCTTCATCTCCTCACGCTTAGACTACTGTAACTCTCTTTTCACGTGTCTGAGCAGAACCTCCCTGAACCGTCTACAGGTGGTTCAGAACGCCTGTGCTCGGCTTCTGACCAAGTCCTCCAAACACACCCACATCACCCCGCTTCTCCTCCAGCTTCACTGGCTGCCAGTCAACTTCAGGGTTCATTTCAAGATCCTGGTTCTGGTCTATAGGGCCTTACATGGACAAGCACCATCTTACATTGGTGATCTTCTTAGTCCCTACACCCCCAGCAGGTCCCTGAGGTCCAGTGATCAAAGCCTACTGGTTGTGCAGCACCAGGCTAAAGGTCAAAGGTGACAGATCATTTGCTGCTGTGGCCCCCAGACTCTGGACCTCTCTCCCCCTGAGCCTGAGATCAGTGGACTCAGTGGTCTCCTTTAAAAAGCAGCTGAAGACTCACCTGTTTAAGCTGGCTTTTGTATGACCTTCTTCACCTCTCTCTCTTTATTCTGCTCTCCCACCTATTCCACCTTCCTCAGGATCCACTGATTTCCCTCTTTCCTGTTCACTCTCTCTTTCTTAACATTTTTTAATCACAATTGTCTATTTTTGCTCATTTAAAATATATTTTTAAACATTTTCAAATTGCTTTTTTTTCTATTTTTATAATTTTTTGTTTTTGTGAAGCGCCTCGTGATTTTTATCTTGAGAGGCGCTACAGAAATGATGTTTTCTTCTTCTTCTTCTTCAGCTGCCCTGGGGTGCACAGACAGAGGCGAGGCTGCCCAGCACTGGCGCCACCGGTCCCTCCGACCACCACCAGCAGGCAACGTGGGTTAAGTGTCTTGCCCAAGGACACATCGACAGCGACAGACTGCGCGGGGCTCAAACCTGCAACCTTCCGATTACGGGGCGAGCACTTAACTCCTGTGCCACCGCCGCCCACATAAACCCCTAAGCCCCCCAAGGCTCTCTACAACAGACTCAGTCATTCACACACTGGTTGTGATGAGCTACATTGTAGCCACAGCTGCCCTGGCGTGCGCTGACAGAAGTGAGGTAGCCACATACAGGCGCCACCAGCAGGCAAGGAGGGCGAAGCGTCTTGCCCAAGGACACGACGACTGCGACAGACTGAGCGGGGCTTGAACCAGCAACCCTCCGGTTACAGGGCAGGCCCCTAACAGCAAACACAAACTGTAAAAACAACAATAACTGCAGAAAAACAAACACAAAACTAGAAATCAACTTGAAATTTCAACCATCAATCAAATAACTAATTTCAACATCCCGACGCGTGTGAGGAAAACTTGTGCCAGCTTGTGTTGCTGCTAATCCTGAACATGCCAGAGGAGAGAGAGCCCACCTGTTTGAAGACACCCACCACCAAAACTAAAAAAAGCAGGCGAGATTAGTCTAATGACCCCGCGGGGTCGACCCCCATGAAGAAACAACATCCCAGCCAGCCTGGAACATTGCTGCATTTAGAACTAAAACATCTACAGTTTGTGAAGACCCTCCTGCACCAGGATGCAGGCCTTCACTCGAGAACTCACTATAATCTCACACTACAAATAATTATGAGCAAAAAAACACCAACAAATTAAAATAACAGGAATTACTGCCAGACGTGGTGTACTGCTACTGTGACAGGTGGGCATGGCATTCAACACCCGTCCTCATATTAACTGAAGAAGCTAAAGATCTACTGAAGAATGCTCCTGTTGCTCAGACAGCTGGGTATGGAGGCGTTAAGAGGTCCTAAACCTCACCCCAACCTCTGTGAAACACACAATCCTGTAATCTCAACAGAAAGGTGTTCTTGTCAAATTTAGTCTTTTGGAGATCTCTTATAATACATGACGGTTGAGAGGTAAAAATAAATAACTCGTTTTTCTTTTCAGCCTTTATAGGATGCAGTCTGACTTCAGGTATTGTTTGGGCTTTAGGAAGCAGGCTCAGTTGCTTAATCGTCCTTACAGAGGCTGAAATCCCACAAACGGCAACAGCATTCAAGTAAACATGCAACAGTGATTAAGAAAAAAGACATTTTAAAACGTTTTCTGCAAATAGCAAAAACACAAAGACAGCCTTTTACCACTGGAGTCGGCTCACTATTTAAGATGCTGCCTAAGGACAACTGATAAGAGCATCTTAACTACGACCTAGTAAGGGATATTTATTGGGCCATTCCCATCTGTACCGGGTCGGCCTGGGCCGGGTAGCCCCAGTCGGCCCCAGCCTGGCCCGGTTGATTCCACACATCCTTGTCTTAAGCCCATGTGGGCTGATTCTACCCACCAATCAGAGGCTTGCTCTAATGGAAGGTGTGAATTTGCTGTCAGCAGTGGGTGTGTTGGCCCTGGTCGGCCTGAAGCAGACCCCCTCGAGAAGAGGGCTGAGAATGAGCCTTGGTTGGCCCGGAAAATACCAGGCCACCCAGATATGTAAACAACCTACGCTACCCGGCCCGGGCCGACCCGGTACAGATGGGAATGGCCCATATGACTATACACTCACTGGCCACTTTATTGGGTACACCTTGCTAGTACTGGGTTGGACCCCCTGTTGCCTTCCGAACTGCTTTAATCCTTCCTGGCATAGATTAAACAACGTATTAGAAACATTCTTCAGAGATTTTGGTCTATATTGACATGATAGCATCACGCAGCAGCTGCAGATGTGTCGGCTGTGCATCCACGATGTCTCTAACTTCTTCATTTAACAAACACTTTGTTCCCATATCTATAGTCACCTACAATTAACCTCTAAAGAAACCCAAATATCGGTTTACCAAACTCTAATATCCCTTCGAACTTACTGAAGATCAAGTCACCCCTTACAAGAAACTTACTCCACTCCCACTTGTTAAAAAATGCAACAAAGGCTGTTGCTTAGCAGACTGAGAGGATGGAGCCGCTACCAAATACACACAACCAGGCTCACAACAGCATTGTGACATCATAATGTACCAGCTAACGTCATTGTGTACCTCTTAGCCAATAGCGATGGCAGATTTAAATTCAAACGTAGTTCAGAGTTTTTACCTGACGACGGTGCAACACTGACAGTTTAGGAAGAATATTAAAATTTGAACTAAGATGCACTAAAGTGCCAAATTATTGACTACACGTGTCTGCAGCACGATTAGACTCATTTATATAGTTTATCAGCAAAAAAAGTTGATTTGGGGGTGACTTGCTCTTTAATGCACTTTTGAAATGAAGCTGAATTTGAAAATTTTAAATACCGTTTTGTCACTCAAGGGTAAAGAGACATAAAGGGGATCTATTGTGCAAAACTCATCTTTTGCATCCTTTTGTGCTTCCATGTGGGTCTCTACTGTCTTATAAACACTCCAAACTTAAAAAAGAAAAAAATCCATCCATCTGTTTGGTTTTAGGAATCATGTGCCTAAAACATGCGGTTTCAAAAAGGCCCATTTTGTGATGTCACAATAGATCCGCTTCTCACATGCAAGAGGGAGCTGCTGCCGCTGGAAGAGCAACGGATATACTTCAAGCCTCTCTCAGAAATCAGAGCTTCTCAGCCTATAGCAGCCTGAGCGAGTGATGAGTGGGCCAGAGCCCTGAAACGGCTCAATCTGCAGGGTACTGAAACGGTGAAGAATAAAACTTCTGAAAACTCTTTATGTGGGAGGGGTTTAGATCAAAGAACTTAATACACATGTGTATTATGGACCGTAGAACTATTATAGCTTAAAGTTGTTATGGCAAATCTGCAAACACGATAGGTTTTGGATGCAGACATGGTCACAAAACGCTCACCCCTTCCCTCAGGTATCTTCCCTGAGATGCTTCTGCTGGAAAAGAAAACCCACAATGCCGAAGGAAAAGATATAGTGCTAAACACAAGTCGCCATTTACTGCATCAAAATTTCTTGTTGTCTGTGACTTCAAATGGTGTTTTTCTTTGAGACTCTGGCAGTTTGTCCTAAAGTTGAGGTGGTAGCAGCCGGCCATCTCTGATTTTAATGAGCAGAGAACTTCTCTTACTAGTGATGTTCTGTTGCTAAATACGTGAGTGTGTGATGAGTAGAGGACCCAGGGAGGTGTGGCGGTTTGGTGAGACCAACAACCAGATGGTCCACACTGCCAGTGATGGTAAAGCTACTCTGTAGCCACAATTTCCAAGCACAGGCGCCACCAGTCCCTCCGACCGTCACCAGCAGGTTAAGTGTCTTGCCCAAGGACACAACAGCAGTATTTTCTGGGATCAAACCTGCAACCTTCAGATAACTGGACCACTCGCTCTACGTCCTGAACTGCTGTTGCCCCAAAGGCAGGAGCTGGAATCGATCCCACAGTCCTCCAATCAATTCAATTCAAAAATACTTTATTAATCTCAGAGGGAAATTGATTGCTGTAGTAGCTCAGAGTAATAATAATAATAATCAAGTCATCAAAGAGTTGTTGTCTATTGGCAGGAAGGATCTCCAGTAGCGGTCCGTGTTGCAGCCAAACTGAAGAAGCCTCTGACTGAAGACACTCTTCGTTGTCGGACAGTCTTGTGAAGAGAATGCTCAGGGTTGTCCATCATGTTCTTGATTCTTTGGAGAATCCTTCTTTGCATTATCTCCTCCAGCGGTTCAGAAACTGACGAAACTCTGGCTGAGTCCCTGAAAGGGCTTGGAGTTCCTCCATCTTGTTGGCCAGTGATCTCACATTGCCCATTATGATCGATGGAAGAGATGGTTTGAATTTCCTCTTTCTCTGTCTCCGTTTTGCTCCCGCTCTGCACCCACGCTTCTTGCGTTTTAGCTCATTTGGGATTTGTGGCTTCAGTTGAGGAATTATTTCAGCCTTTCCCATGTTAATCAGCTGTTCCCGATTGTAAACCAGCTTGTTGCCATGGTTACGCATCATAACAAATGCTCAAAAATTGAAAAAAGCTAAAAAAATAGCAGTAAAAATCCTCCAAGCTTCACAGCACCAGAAACAGTAAAGTAAAGTGTCCAAAAAAATACAGTTTTTCTTGAGAAACTAGAAGAAAAAATTCCCAAGAAAAGGCAAAACATCCATATAGTCAACAGCTACTCCAACATGCAGCCGCCCAGAGCAGCGCAGTTCCGGAAGATCAAGAGGCAACCCACTCGACCACCTCCTAAGCTTCTGCTTTTAGACAAATGCCAAAGAACCACTTTCTTACATTTTTCTCGTTTTTTTAATCTCCACAATATATCTATAGCTATACTATATTTTAAAATGTTAAGAGGCATGGAAAAAGTGTTCTAAGCTCATTTGTTTTCCAAATTTGCCATTGCAGCTTTAAGTAAAAACAATACTGTGTCCAAATTAAGTCGAGCTGTTTGTTAAAATGAGTCTCACCTCTCCAGGTCCTAGCTCAACACCACCAGCCTCCAGCTCTGCCTCCAAAATGTGTCCACCAAAAAGAGGAGGAAGAGCCAAGCCAGAAAAATCTTCCATCATCTGAAGAGAAACAAACCTTTACAACCATCTCGTGTTACTTGTATTAACATAAGCACTTGGACTTCCGCTACCAAACTGAGAACATGTTTATGTTACATAAGACTGGGAGAGTAAGTCTAATTTATCCCACTAACGCTGCATCACATACTCACACTCTTGTTCAGTCCAATTCGCACTGCTGAGCTTTAGCGGGAAAACAAGCCCCGAACCAATTTTATTTGAACTCCAGAACTTTGTTGTTTCTTAATTTAGTTAGAAACATAAACAAACAATAAACATTATTTAATCTACACACAAATAAGAGCTAGTAGTCTTCCTCACTTCATCTTTTGTTTACGTGCGACGGTCGCTGAAATTATACGTCATTACCACATTCCCCATGAGCACTTGCAAGCTAAAACTACACTAGACAATATGGCGGGTACGTGTGTATTTTGTCACTTTTAAACCTGATATAAACAAAAACAGCTTCGCCATGACCCCTAGCAGCATAGCGAAAAGCTTTAAATGTTAGAAATGGCACATGTTTTTTACAGGAATCACTATTACGCATCTATGTAACGTGACCTTGAATGTATCGCTAACGTTAGCTAACACACTGTTTTTGCTAGCTACATATCTTTTGTGGTAGTTTTTCTCTTTTAACAGTTGGTTTTCTTACAGCAATTGGAGCTTTCCTGAAAAACGCTTGGAATAAGGAGCCTGTCATTTTGGTTTCTTGTGGATTAGGTCTTGTAGGTACGTAAACCGACACCTACACGTACCGCTAACGCTAGCAGTAGAAAACATCACAAGGCTAAATAATATCGTTTTTGTGCAACTTTCTTTAGTTTATCTAGTGAAATCTTTGCAAGTTCATTTGCTTCATAATAAAACAATTTTTAAAAGTAACATCTTAATTGTTCTGATTCTAATTTGTGCATTTTCTATTTTGCATGTGTGCTTTGTTTCTTTAGGCCTCGTCCTTCCATTTATAAGCCCATACACAAAATATTCAAGGATGTTGAACTCTTCTGTGCCGTACTGCTACCCAGGTAAACACTGATGTCATTTCTCATTTCTAGGGTGTCAAACCCAGGTCCCCACTTCAACACTCATGGTCCAGGGGCCTTCATTATCTTTTCAGCCAGTCCTCAAGTCTGGCAGAAGTTTGTCATTTATGTATCGATTCAAATTAAGTGTGGAGCAGAGAAACCTCTAAAACATGCAAGAAAGTTTCCCTGGAGTCTGACTAATAACTAAATATCCATAATCTTTATTTTCTCATTGCAGTTCCTGTCCGGGATGACGGGAACATGCCTGACGTTCCTGCCCATCCGTGTGAGCCTAAAGGACCGAGCTTGGAATGGCTTAAAAACTTTTAAAAGTGATTTTCCAAATCAATATTTGAGTTGCACCTTCTGTTCATATCTGTCTGCAGAGTTCTCTTGATTGTCTCAAAATAAATATTCTATTCAATTCTATGTTTTGTGCCACACTGATTTATTCTGCACTTTGGATTAACAGGACTACATTATAATATTCGTCTGCATTTAAAAATGTCCAGCAGCTTCAATTACTTAATAAGTTTACTTTGATATGGATTTTTTTTTGTCTTCTTGAACGAATTTGCGTCCATTAATCAAAAATTCTCAAGCTAAATGTCACTAAATGTTATTGAACTTATGAAATATGTGGTGAGACCTGTTTCAAATCTAAAAATATTCAGCTTTGTTTGATTCTGACCATAAGATACTAAACTAGTAGCACAAATGGTGAATATTTAATATGGTGCTTGTGGGTTAAAGATGAAGAAAAATCTTTTATACATATTGCATATTGGCAGTGATGTTTTTAAATTATTGTATTATTTTCTTGGCTGTTGGGTGTAGATGCAGCTTTACTGGCTAAACTGCAGTCTTCACACGTACATCCGTCTCTAATGATAAATACAAGTAATTTGAAGTAAAACTAATCAAAATAACTACTAATTAGAAAGTTGGCTGCAGTAGTCAGGTTGTGATGAAACTTACATATTTCTGTGAGAAAACAGAAGGCTTAGTGTGACAACATAATCAGCTTATCACTGGTGACAAAGACGTCTTTGTTTTTAGCCAGCATGATGGAGAAAGAGAGAACAGCATGTAAAACTTATTTGTAGTTCAAATGTAGGATTATTGAACAATAAATGCGTATTTATAGAATGCATTTAGGCAGAAATCTCACTAACAAAAAACTGATTTAAATTTTATTTCACAACTTGTCAATATTTAGGATTTCATTGTTCTTCAGCAGGATTCATCATAGTAACAACTTTATATTAATATGACTGTTTTCACAGTGAAACACATTGTGAACAAAACAAAACTATAATGTTCATCTAATTCATCAATATTTCACTCCAGTGGGACACTTTGATCTTGCGCTGACTCAGTTTGGTGCAGATTCCCAATCAGTTCTGTTAAGATGTTGCATGCAGTTACACTCAGATCTGTGTCATCAGCCGATTTGTTTTGGATCAGTGTTTTTTTCTTTACATACATTTAAATGTGCACAAGAGAAACAAGGTCATTTATAATAGGATCAGCTTGTATTTCATCCAAACTTTGGATTTTATGACCCAGAATCACAGGTCCTTTCATTATTTAAATGAATCATTTTTACACAAATGCATTTTAGTGGCTCTTAATTTAAAAAAATCACATTAGTAACACAAATACCAGTTTGTTGCATTTTTGCACTCATTTCACCAACAGTTTTGCAGCATCAGAGGTTTTTCTGCAGCATCTCAAAGACAAAATGTTTAACCAAAGTGAAATATTCAAAATAAGTCCAATTTCTTAACAATTCTTTGCAGATTTACAAGCATTTATTCCCACTAATGATGGCAGCCTATACATAGTAACACAATATGAGCCATTAGTTACTTCCTACTGTTTTTGTTGTGACTTGACTCTTCACAACGCTGAAGAATCATGCCAGCTGAACAGTTTGCATATGAAACTTTGCTTTGTTCACTTTGATACCTCACTTTTCCAGACATTCAGAGCCATGTCATCCTATTTTAGATGTCTAGTTTTCCACAAACACCTGCTTAGACATCTGTCTACTTCCCATAAACTTTCTTCATCACTTTCTAAAACCATTCCCTCCATAAACTCAGTCAAGGCGTGCGTCTTGGCTCCCACAGGTTCAGATTCTGATGTTTAAAGAGCAAGTCACCCTCAAATCAACTTTGTTTTTGTTGATAAACTATATAAATGAGTGTCTAATTGCTCTGTAGACAAATGTAGTCAATAATTTGGCACTATTTAATCTTAGTTAAAATTTAAATAATCTGCCTAAAACTGTCAGCGATGCACCGTCGTCAGGCAAAAACTCAGCACTGCATATGAATTTAAATCTGCCATCGCTATTGGCTAAGAGGTACCCTAGAACGTTAGCTGGTACCATATGATGTCACAGTGTCGTTGTGAGCCTCTGTGTGTGTGTGTGTGTGTGTGTGTGTGTATTTGTTAGTGGCTCCGCCCTCAGTCTGCTATGCAACAGCATTTGTTGCATTTTTCAAACAGGAAGTGGGAGAGTAGTAATACTCTGGTAGGGGGTGACTTGCTCTTTAAAGACCCAACAAGCACAGATGTATGACAAAGTGCTGAAAAGGAATCAAGTGGACATAAAATCCAAAGAAAAAGCATAAAAACCTCTAAGTTTTTTAAGACCCTCCACAAGATGTGACTTTCAATAAAAGATTCTCTTCTAATAAACACCAATCCAAAAATTCAGCCATTCATTTTCACAGTATGTAAGGTTATTGTTTGTTGTTTTGCATTTAATTAGAAAAAGCATTTCATTTCCACTGAGAAAACCTGATGGGAAAACATTTGTTAATAATAATAATCAAAGTTAAGTAATCCAGTAATAAATGCGTTATGATCAACTTTACAGCATCAGATTCACTAGAACAACTCCTCATAGTGCACTCTTCCTGTTACCAAAATAAAAGTGTCACAAAACGACTCAAGGTGTCTGCTTCTTTAAATTATATTCAGTATCTCAGCTAAACAATTAGGAGAAAAAAAATTGTTTTGCTAAAATGAATCAAATTGGAAGGTTTTCAGAATAAAAAGAGAATGTCATCTTTGAGAAGAAGCCGGTCCTCCTCTCTACTGTCATAGGACCCAGTCCCTAAATCTGCTCAAGGCGTTTTCAGAAAAGGTCACAAAAACGAGATCAGAGCAAAAAGAAAGAGGAGCGATCTTCACATTCAGGACTAATCAGGACACGTTAGTACATTTAGAGAAAACAAGGCACCGTCTAATGGCGTCTAACACTGAGAAATAACTAAATTAGCTTTTATCTTCCTTCAGGCTTAACGCTTCTTTCATGTTGGATTTTCAGATTTTCCTGCAGTTTTCAAACAACCTGAAAATGAAACAAACTGGAATCATGTTTTTTGTTTCTGCTCATGAAACAAACTTCATGCCATTCTTAAGGATAAACAGCCTCAGAGTGAGTGGTTGCTTGTAAACAGGATCGAGCGGACGTTCGATGAACCTCAGAGGAGCAGGACTCCCGACTCACTCAATGATGGGGGCCGAGCGATCGTTGGTGACGGTTCTTCTCAGGCGCACGTGAGCAAATGGATTGGGCCTGTGAGGAAGAAGGAGCGAGTCGCTGTAAACGGGAACAATCTGACACAACAAGAAGGAAATCTGGGAATTCCGATGAATTTTAAAAGAAAACATCAGGACAGTGCAACTATTTCATACTGCTTCATCAGACCAGAACATCAGATACTTTTCATGTAAACGATGTCAACTGAGATGAGGTTAAAAACAGAATAAATCATTAAAGTGAGGACAATAAACATGATCTATTATGACCTGGATCGTTACCATGGTGATATTTGTTTTTATTTTTGGCAAATTTCTGGAAATATTTTGTTAGATAAATTATGAGAGGGCAAAACGACCTCCTGGCAGCATGAAGATTTAGGTAAAAAGGTTCTGACTTTGTTGAATTTCATCAAAAGGAAGAAAGTTATGAGATCTAATCTGAGGTTTACCCGCAGTCACTTCCTGTTTCAGCACCTCTCAGCAAAACAACTAAAAACTGAAGCACAAGCACCTTTTCATTCTAACTGAGGTCAGATTGATGACCACGTCCAACATTTAAAACTGGGCTGCAATCTTACACTGAATTATGTGGAAATAAACGACTAAATAAAGCCAAATAAAAGCACGTCTTATAGGGAATCGTGTGAGATTCAAACATAAACATTTTCTCCTGTGCATTTATTTTGATTTTTTTGGATATCAGGTCACGTTTTACTCGTCGTTTGCAGAATTTAGAATTTTTGCATCAAAAAACTGTTGTAGAAGTCCTTTGTCAGTTATTGGGAGTTACCTGGTAGGTGAGGGGGGCGAACAGGTTAAATCTGACGTGATCTGTAATGCAGAGAGGAGAGTTTCACCATTATTACGAAACACCTGTGTCAGAGTGAGGACAAACAGCCTCTGACCCTTGACCTCTTCCCACAGGGTTCAGGTTTCTGACCTTGCTGCTGTCGGCCATGCTGTAAGGGCGCGGGCGGAATGTGCTGACCCTCTGGGGAGGAAGGAAGCGCTCCTCCTCAGACTCGGGGGTCAAGGCTGGACCCGGCGACACCAGTTTGTCCAGCTGTCCTGTACTGGTGCTGTTCGCCTTAGATAAGAAGAGAGAGCTGGAGGGGAAGATCAGAGGGAAAGAACAAGATACATAATGGGAAAACATACAAAACGGAATTTAATATAAAAAAATCTAATTTTTTTGAACAAGCTCAGTTTGAAGAAACACAGAGCCAGTTGAAGTATGGCGCGGTATGGGGGCCAAAATTAAGACTACTGCCCAGCAGCAGGAGGATATATAAATTCCGAAGCAAACTACCAACCTGATTAATGATAAGCTGGCGCCGGTAAATGAGAGGCTGGCGCTGCTTACTGAGAAATGGCACCTTTACCGGCGTTATTACTAGATACGCTAGGGACTAGCAGCCCTTGGCTGATCATTGATTGGTTCAAACACTCTCTCTGCTATCTATTAGCATGGATAGGCTAGCGTTAGCCTGGACGGGCTGGTGTTAGCATCGGAGAGGCTAGCCATTAGCGTGCCTAGGCTGGCCAGTAGCTGGATTTCCTACCTCCTCGACGGACCATTAGCATGGATAGGCTGGCGTTAGCGTCAGAGAGGCTAGCCATTAGCGTGCCTAGGCTGGCCAGTAGCTGGATTTCCTACCTCCTCGACGGACCATTAGCATGGATAGGCTGGCGTTAGCGTCAGAGAGGCTAGCCATTAGCGTGCCTAGGCTGGCCAGTAGCTGGATTTCCTACCTCCTCGACGGACCATTAGCATGGATAGGCTGGCATTAGCATCGGAGAGACTAGCCATTAGCATGTCTAGGAGAGTCACTAGTCAGCTAGTGGCCAGCCTAGGCACGCTAATGGCGCTCTAAAGTTTGGCTTCATTTTACTAAATGCGACGGGTGATTGGGTGAAGATGAAACCAGCGACAACGATCTAAGTGTGAGGCATCATCGTTTTAATCTGCTCCAGCAGCTAAATAAACTGTTTAAGATAACGTTAGCTTGGTATGTTAGCTTCCATTGCTACCATTGTTATCAGCTAATGGTGCGTTCACTTTCTCCTCGGAAATTCTAACTTCCCAGTAGGAAAAATCAAATGAAAAAGACGGCAAAAGGAATGAAGATACACAGTAAATTTAGTTCACAGTAATGATGTTTGCTTCAGTTTAATTATCAGCTTATAAAACTACAAGGACGATGTTAAAATACAAACAGTTGTATGTTATTTATCGTGATATTTATCAAATATGGTTATGAATTGAGAAAAATATATATTTAATTATAAAAGAGAATTAAAATATTAAACACTCAAAAGTATCTAACATTGGTACCATTAAGTACCGGTATCGATTCCTAGGTACCGGGAATTAGTACCGAATCGATTCAAATGTCAAAGGTACCCATCCCTAGTGCCTACGAGCTCAGGTGTGCCTGTATCAGAAACTAGCAGAATACCACATCACCCGCTCAACAAGGCAGGATTTTTAGTCCTGATATATGGACCTGTCCCCTCAGATTGGCCAACGGCGATATGGACGTTTCACCTCCACAAATAACGCAAGCCTCGATATTCAAAAATGTGTAAAGATGGCAAGATCCACATATTTGGTTGATCTTGTCTCCTCCAACAGCCACAGGCTCTTGTTGGTGTTTAAAATAATGCTTTAACCGGTTTTATCAGCTTCATTTGAACTCTGTGAGGAGTTTTAAACGTTTTTCACCGACACAATCTCAAATGTCAGCTCTTCCGTCGTTTCCATCCATCCTTCAATATCATCTTTATCTTCTTACCCTTCCAGATGATCCATCTTGCTGTGCTGCAACTGAGTGTAGGAGAAAGGGAACCAGCCTTTTCTGTAAGGGAAACCATCACTGGATGTCAGCACAGGTAAATAAAAGCAGCATTTCAGTCGTGAGCCAAAGAAAAGAGTGTGATCATAAAAAAGAGGGATGACACGATTTAATGGTTACATTCCAGCAAATAATCTTTCATTTGTACCGTCCAGTCCGCTCATTTTGACCATAGTGCCAGCCATCCCGGGGCTCAGAGATGAGCAGGGTGATGTTGTCACCAGGTAGGAAGTGAAGTAAGCAAGCCCCGCCCCCCATGCTTCCACCACCCTCCAGTGATCCTGGTGTGTGGGGAAACATGGCCTCCACACGGATGGGTCCAGATGAAGACAGCATCCTGGGGAGGCTGGAGCCTGTGGTAAAAAAAAAAAAAAAAAAAAAAAAAAAGTAAAACAAAGAACATGAGAAGGTTTGAGATGAAGACGTGAAACCAACAGGTGTCCGGCCTTACCCTGAAAGCCCCCCAGCCTCAGTTCACTGGCAGGCCTCCTCGGCAGAGGGAGGGTTGCGGTGGCTGACATTTCTCCCAGCTTCAGCAGCCAGGGATTGTGGGACGGAGACAAAGTGCTGCTTCCTCCTGGTCCCACCTGTTGGTGCAGCAGCTGCACCGGAGTCATGGCTCTGGAGAGGGGAGCGCTGTGGGACAGAGGAGGACTGTGAGGAGCACTGTGGGGGATGGGGAGGGTCATGCCCTGTGGGGAGCTGCTGGCTGTGGAGATCTGGCTGAGTGACATCACGGTGGAAGGGATGAGGCTTGGGGAGAGGCTGGACGTGGCCAGGAGGAGAGAGCCCTGCTGGGTGGAGCTGCTGGGTGGATTGGGAACTGGACTGGTGCTGTCAGTGCCCCGGCCATCAGGGAGGGGGCTAGCTGAAGAACTGAGGGGGGTGCTGGTGTGCTGAGGGGATGCTCCTCTGGATGAACCTCCTGCAGCTCCACTGGAGGAGGACGCAGGGCAGAAAGTCTGCGTGGAGCCGTGAGGAAGACCAGCGTCACTGTGGGAGGAGGAGGAGGAGGGGAGCGAGCGCTGCTGCTGGGAGCGACCAGAGTCCCCTCCGTTCAACAGGGGAGGGATTTCATGGACAGAGAGCCTCTGGAATCCAGACAAAAAGAAAGATCACAGGACTTAAGCCACAAAATCTGAGATCATTAACTTTCAGAAGTAATGGATCAGACCTGCTCTGGCTGAGCAGAGCCCAGCTTGGTGTGACGGAGGACCTCGGCGACCCCAGCAGCCCCTGGGCTTTGTGGGGCCGTGTGGCGCAGCAGGTTCAGAGCTCGCTCCGGGAGCTTGGTTGGCTGAGAGCAGGACTGCTGCCAGGATGAAAGTTTCTGAGACAGAAGTTCTCTGACCTGGATCCCAATAAAAACAGCGTCCAAATGCAGTTCACAAGTTCACGCTGCTGCATTCAGAATGAATAACAAATCCTCAATTCTAAATACACTCACGATTTTTAGCTCAGAAATAAAAATGTTCAGGAAAACATATAATTCTTCAGCTGTAAGTGATCTGTCGCTGACAGATGATCAAACGGCAGCTCACCTTGGCGTGGTAGCTAATGAGCAGTTTGGTGACGCAGCACTGTCTGTCCACCAGGAAGCAGTACCGCCTCCTCTCCTCAGTCAGGGCTGACTTGTAGCCGGTGGCCACCAGCTCGTCCAGCTCGCCTTGGCGACGGCTCATCAGCTCCACAAACTGACAGGAACGTGACATCAGCTTTAAAAACATCTTCCTACTCCAAGAGTCCAAAGAGTTGTAGAATTTCCATCAAAGCTTCCTGACAGAATCAGCTGAATCTTATTCCTTCTGCACTGTTTCACTCACTAACAGTTCTGCTTTTTAATCTGCAGTAATCCTGAGAAATGTTTAGGATCGATGTATTTAAAAGGTTTACCAAATGTATGGAGTCACTGTGTCCATGACGGTAAACCCCGGTAAAAAAGTTGACAATAAAAATAACCGTCCAGTTTTTAAAAAACTAAATTATCTCGGTGGGTTTACCGTGGCCGCGGTTTAGGCGCGGTGACCCTTACCAGCCACCGTCGCTTCTGCTGAGGTTCCCGCGCACACGCACTGTTTAGTTTGCAACCAAAACTTTGAAGCTGAAATAATGGCCGAAGGAGGAGACGGCAGCGCCCAGGACATCCATCAGCCCTCAAAGAAGACTAAATGGGAAGTATGGGCATATTTTGGATTTCTGAAAAATGCTGAGGGACAGTTAATAGAAGACGGCTATCCCGTTTGCAGAACGTGCAGGAAACAAGTGTCTGCAAAAGGCAGCAACACTTCGAATCTAATGGCACATCTGCGTGACCATCACCCACGTCTCTACAGCCAGTGCAAGGTAAGTTAACATTAGCATTTTAGCTTAAATGCATGACGTGAGGACTTTTGGTTGAGGGAGAATGCAACGAGTCGCTATATACTGCAGCCGCAGCGTTCTCTGCCAGCATTTAAACCGTGTCACGGACACCCTGTTGCTGGATGAAGCATCTTATTTGTTGATGATGAAGAGAAATATACAATTAGTTCCTTGTCATTGATTTGTTTACTTATTCAATGCCATTTATACTTGAACATTTGGATTTGATTACATAGTGTAGTAGTTATTTTAGTAATTTGTTTAAAGTGGATATTTATTTTAAATACATTTTTTTAAGGTTGACTTGTACAGTGCTCAAGTCAAGTGTGGACTGGAGTTTTAGATTTTCATTTTGATAATGAAGAAAACAAGTATATGAGAAAACAAGTGGTGTTTCTTTCATTTGTTTACATATTGTTTATGTTTTGAATGTTTGGATTTGTATAATTTAAACCTGCACTGACTACTGTAACATGTTCCAGAAAAAGAAGCTATTTGTTCCTTTACTTGTGAAAAGTTGCACTTTTGCTAAGGCTTTGTGTTATTTTAGGTTTAATAAACACTGTTAAACCTTTTCAGAACTATTTCAGTTTGTGTAGAACAGGACTATCAATGCTTTCTGAACATATGCAACACCGTTTAAAAAATACCGCGATAATACCGAAAACCGTGATAATTTTGGTCACAATAACCGTGAGGTTAAATTTTCATACCGTGACAACCCTAGTGCTCACAGATGTAACTCACCTGCATCTCCCTGTCTCCGTATTTGTTGGGGTGACGGCTGCCCTGACTCTTCCGGCGGAGCTTCTTCAGTTGGGACTGACAACGCTCGATCGACTCAGATTTAGACCTCCGCTCACTCTGGTACTTCTTTAAGGTGGACTGAGAGGAAATGCACAAGCAGAATTACTGATCTGGTTGGAGTCATGCAGGGGCGCCTCCAGAAAATTTTGATGGGGGTGGCCAGATGGGCCGAAGAAACTTTTGGGCCTGTCTTTATTCGTTTTTATTAAAATAACAGTATACAAAACATTTACCTTACATTTTACCAACCTTAAATTTTACCAACACAAACATTTCGGAAATAAACATTTCAGTTATTTAAAATGTAATCCATCCATCCATTCATTCATTTTCATCCACTTATAGGAAGTCGGGTCGCGGGGGCAGTAGCCTAAGGCGAGAGGCCCAGACTTCCCTCTCCCCAGCCACTTGGGCCAGCTCCTCTGGGGGAATCCCAAGGCGTTCCCTGGCCAGGTGAGAGACATATGGGCCATTCCCATCTGTACCGGGTCGGCCCGGGCCGGGTAGCGTAGGTTGTTTACATATCTGGGTGGCCTAGTATTTTTCCGGGCCAACCAAGGCTCATTCTCAGCCCTCTTCTCGAGGGGGTCTGCTTCAGGCCGACCAGGGCCAACACACCCACTGCTGACAGCAAATTCACACCTTCCATTAGAGCAAGCCTCTGATTGGTGGGTATAATCAGCCCACATGGGCTTAAGACAAGGATGTGTGGAATCAACCGGGCCAGGCTGGGGCCGACTGGGGCTACCCGGCCTGGGCCGACCCGGTACAGATGGGAATGGCCCAATAGTCCCTCCAGCGTGTCCTGGGTCTACCTTTAGGACTCCTCCCGGTTGGACGTGACCGGAAAACCTCACCAGGGAGGCATCCAGGAGGCATCCTGACCAGATGCCCGAGCCACCTCAACTGGCTCCTCTCGATGTGAAGGAGCAGCTGGTCTACTCCGAGCCCCTCCCGGATGACCGAGCTTCTCACCCTATCTCTAAGGGAGAGCCCAGCCACTCTTCGGAGAAAACTCATTTCGGCTGCTTGTATCCGCGATCTCGTTCTTCCGGTCACTACCCAAAGCTCATGACCATAGGTGAGGGTAGGAACGTAGATCGACTGGCATGTTATGTTGTCCATAATTTAAATTAAAAATGTATTTTTTTAATGTTAAGTCACCTGTTGCTGTGTTTAAAAAAAACTATGGAGATAAAAATGTTTTTAAAATAGTGAGCAACAGAAACATTTTTATTTTTTTATTCTGATTATTTCTTTACTCATTAATTGTAATATTTTTATTTTGTTTTACAATTATGTCTTGAATAAACAAGATCAAAATATGGTTTGACTGAACATTAATATGATTTGTTAACACTGGCTTTTCCTTGGGGGGGGGAGCAAATTTTTTAGGGGTGGCCATGTCCACACCTGGCCACCCCTTGGGGGCGCCCTTGGAGTCACTCACAATGTGCATGTTTCAGGAACTTGGGTCAACTTAATGTTTACTTTTTTTTACCGTGTCCTGTCTGGCTGTGAAGCAAGCAGAATTGATGTCTGAATGCTGGTGACAAGCCTTAAAGATTTACTCTCAGGTGGAGCATCAAAGAGTCTGCTTTTAATGTCACGCCTGATACTTAAAACTTTATTGTTATTGTTTTTGAATGGTTTTTAATTCTGAGCAGACACAGAGTCAGAGGTGAAAGAGAAAGGAAGAGACAAAAGGTGTGTGTGTGTGTGTGTGTGTGGGGGGGGGGGGTCCCCACAAAAATAAACAATAATGAACATGAGTCTACTTCTAGACGTGCAGAAGGAGAGAAGAAAAAAAAGGGACAACAACAATACAAGATCAAGCTATCACTGCGTCAACTTGATGAAGAAATATATAATCAACATTGTTTAACTGAACATCACACGATAATAAATCACAGTGCATTAAGTGCCCACCATAGCCTGAAGACCTGTGTTGAACGTGCCCAAGTCCATACTTATGAGAGCACCATGTGAGCACCTGTGTGTGTACACACACTTGTTTATGTAAGGTTTCTCTATAGGAGTGTCCAATAGAGTGTGAGGGGCCACAGATCTGCCCCCTAAAGATGTGTAGGAGACGGAGGGAGCTCCAAGTCCCAGAGATCCAGGAGCTGCCCCAGAACACAGGAACCCCAGGGAGACGGAGGCAAGCCCACAGGCCCAATTTAATGTTTACTAAAGACCAAGTTCACTCTGCTCCTTTAATTTTTGTATATAAATTATTCTAATACTTTTGGTAATCCAGGTCATGTAAACACATGAAATTAACTCTTTCGGTTTGCTCCTGCGTAATTTTGTTTCATAAAGCATTTTTTGATGTTAAAAACATTTGAGGCTTTAAACGCAGTTTACTCCAAACCTGCCTGTTACATTAGATACCCACCCCGCCACCATTACCTTGGTGTTATCTATTGATTAATATTTTTGTAACATTTATTTTCACTTACATCAGAATAGAAAAGGTTTATTGCTGTACATTTCATTGAAAAGTAAACAAGTCCTAATATGCCTCCATGATGCACTCCGCTTGTTTTCCTCCTTCCTGTATCTTTCTGTCTTTCATAAGCAATTCAAAAGAAACCAAAAATATTCACGTGAACTCACTGTGAGGTATTTGATGTCCAGCTCCAGTTTCTGCTCCAACTGGGCCAGCATCTCAGAGTGAAACAGCTTCAGCTGAATTAATTAACAACAGTTAATTATGTTAAGATACCGACGTTTTGACATTTTAAAGTTATAATATGTTGATGCTCGTCCTCACCACGTCTTCCAGCTGCACCTGAATCTGTCTGTGGACCTCGGCCATCTGGAACAGTGTGTCTCCTGTGAGGAACAACAAAATCACCATCATCATCACAATCATCATCATCATCATCATCATCTTAATCATCATCATCACCATCATCATCACAATCACGACCAACACATCTTCATCATCATCATCACCACCATGACCACCATCTTTATCACCTCACACAATAAAACACTAATACGAGTCACTGTCTAGAAGCCACGTCGTAGAAGTGGGTCTTTAAAGAGCAAGTAACGCCTAAATTAACTATTTTTTGCAGATAACCTGTATGGATTCTTCTTCCGGCTCTTGGAGGGTGCCGACTCAACTCTGTCTCCTATCCCAGCCTGGGCGGGACTGCGGGAAGGCCGCTGAAATGTTTCAGGGTCACTGCAACCCTCCAACCCTCCATGCTCCTCCCCCTATCCACACTGAGGTGACATGCGCTGCTTACCGTGGCTGCAGGAACTGAAGTGGGGATAGTCCCAACCCACCACCCCACCTAGTGGACACTTATGTTGTGTTGTCTTAAGTCTGTTGCATATCTGTCTGAGGTGGGGTTTTTTTTGCAAAGCAAAGCTGCCCTCCTGGTGGAGGGTAACTCTGAAGTGCCTTTTTTTTCCCTCCACCTGAACCAATCCTCATGTAACCCTCTGATCTCTATTAAGGTAGCGCGACTCAGGGTTGCGAATGACCACAGTCACCAATTCTTGTCATGTCTCTTGCCCATAAATGTTTGATCTCTGAATTGTGTGTACTGAAACTCTAATTTCCCTCTGGGATTAATAAAGTATCTTTGATTGATTGGTTGATTGATTGATTGATTGATTGATTGATTGATAGATGAGTGTCTAATGGTGCTGTGCACATGTGTAATCATTAGTGTGGCAGTTTAGTGCATCTTACTTAAAATTTAATATTTCAGCCCAAAACTATAATTATATCTCCATCTTCAGGTTAAAAACTCTGCTCCACATTTATGTAGAACCAGCTGTGGCTGATGGCTAAGCTGAAAAACGTGACGTTGTCAGCAAAGTACTTCGTGGCTGCACCACACTGGTCTCCAGGTGAGACAGCCGCACCTCCACCTGGCTCAGCCACTCATCTGCTGATCTGACACGTTAGCGCTCTGAGACGCTTGCCTCCTTGAAAAAAAATGGCCTCACACACTTATCAATCTGGGTTCAAAAAGGGCCACTCCACTGAAACTGCTCTGTTAGCAGTGACTGAATCCTTAAAAGAAGCTAGAGCGACTGGCAAATCCTCAGTGCTTATCCTGCTCGACTTATCGGCTGCATTTGACACTGTCAACCATGGCTTCCTTTTGTCCACACTCTCTAGCATGAGCATCACGGAGAAAGCACATGCCTGGTTTGAATCGTACCTCACAGGACGATCATTCAGTGTATCTTGTTTTGGACAATCCTCTACCGTGCACCATCTTGCCACAGGAGTTCCCCAGGGCTCTGTACTAGGACCTCTTCTCTTTGCCATATACACCACCTCACTGGGTGAGATCATTCGATCACATGGCTTCTCCTACCACTGCTATGCAGACGACACCCAGCTCTATCTGTCATTTCCACCAGACGACCAAACTGTCTCTGCACGAATATCGAACTGTCTCTCTGACATATCAAAATGGATGAAATCCCACCATCTCCAACCCAACCTCTCTAAAACTGAACTACTTGTCATCCCAGCAAAACCATCTATAAAGCACAATATCTCAATCCAAAATGACTTCCTATCTCTGGCTCCTTCAAAGGCAGTTCGAAATCTGGGTGTTGTGATTGATGAACACCTGACCTTTAAAGATCATGTCGCCTCTGTTGCTCGTTCATGCCGCTTTGCGCTGTATAACAAACGAAAGATCAGACCATACCTAACACAACATGCCACCCAGCTCCTGGTGCAATCTACTGTCATCTCCCGCCTCGATTACTGCAACGCCCTTCTAACTGGTCTTCCAGCCTGGACTGTGAGACCTCTTCAAATGGTCCAGAACGCAGCGGTGCGTCTGGTCTTCAATCAGCCAAAAAGAGCACACGTCACCCCTCTGTTCATTGAGCTCCACTGGCTACCGCTAGCAGCACGCATCAAATTCAAACTGCTAACACTAGCATACAAAGTCCGAGATGGTACGGCTCCCATCTACCTGAATCCTCTTGCAAAGGCTTACGTCTCGGCCCGGCCGCTCCGGTCATCACAGGATCGTCGGCTAGCATTGCCTACACCACGCTCAGGACAATCCAGACTCTTCTCATGCATCGTTCCACAAATGTGGAATGACCTTCCAAGCACTACCAGAACAGGGGCTTCCTTTTCAATTTTCAAGAAACTCCTGAAGACCCTGCTCTTCAGAGAGCATCTTCTAAACTAGCACCCTCCCTGCACCCATCCCCCCCCTCTACCGTCCACTCCTTTGTTCCCTCCTCTCCATGACTGATGTCAAGTTGTTGTTGTTATTGTTGTTGTTAGCCTCAAGGGCAATATGCCGATTATCACTTGTAAGTCGCTTTGAGCGATACTTATGAGATGTAAGTGGAAGCTCCACCTGGCTCAGCCACTCATCTGCTGATTTGACACGTTAGCGCTCTGAGCCGCTTGCCTCCTTGAAAAAAAATGCCCTCTTCCCCTTTTCATCCAATGATTGCGTTTAACAGGAAATCCTCCAGAATGCTGCAGAATCTGTGTCTTGTGTGCGTGCACGCGCTCGTTAACTCGTTTTTAGATTGAGAAACTCCAACAGCGCACGTGGGGGGGGGGGGGGGGGTTTGAGGGGGTGCGGTCTATCACTGCCTCAGTACCGCTCTCTCAGTCCGCCAGGTGACGCCTCTTTCAGAAGATTTTTCTAACAGAAAGTGTGGATGAAATACGTCTCCACCCAGGCATTGACCCTCACTTTAAACGAGATTTAAAAACCGCCAACGATGGAGTCTGCCGAACTTTAATGGGTAATGAGATCATCATCACCACCACCATGACCACCATCATCGTTGTTATCATTGTTGTCTTCATCACTATTATCATCATCACCACCATCACTATCACCATCATCATCATCATCACCACCACCACGACCACCATCATCGTCGTCATCATTGACGTCTTCATCACTATTATCATCATCACCACCATCACCACCACCACCATCACAACCACCATCATCACCACCACCATCACCATCTTCACCACCACCACCATCATCATCGTCGTTATCATTGTTGTCTTCATCACTATTATCATCATCACCATCACCACCGTCATCATCATCATCATCACCACCACCACCATGACCACCGTCATTGTCGTCATCATTGTCGTCTTCATCACTATTATCATCATCACAACCATCACCACCACCATCATCACCACCACCATCACCATCTTCACCACCACCACCATC